AGCTTGGGAAGTATGAATGTTGTGTTAACACTGAGGAGCTCGTGTGCAGGAACTCCGAGGGACTTGAGTCGGCGGAGGAGGTGGAGACGGAAACTGGAGGATTTGACAACTTCACTGACGTGTGGTTTCCAATTTAGTTTGTTGTCTATGGTGACGCCGAGGAGCTTCGTGGAATCTACAACCTGGAGTGTGTTGGGAGATGCGGGAGTATATGTTATTGCTCAAGGGGGGGGGGGGGGTAACCTCTTCCCCCCTTCGGTACAGCCCTAGATATGAAAACAACATAATTGCCAATAATTCAGACCCGTAATTCTCAAATCACTCATTTGGTTGTGGTAAATTGGCCTTATGACGTCATCGGTCTTTTGTTATTGTGTAGCGACAGCCATCATGACTTAACCCCGTAAGTATGATGATTTAACCCCATGAGTATGATGACTTAACCCCTCAAGACACAGTATAATAAAAGTGTTGGCGAGTGTCAGCTGTAGTGGGTGTAGTGTAGTGGGTGTAAGGTGTAGTGTAATGGGTGTCAGCTGTAGTGTAGTGGGTGTAAGGTGTAGTGTAGTGGGTGTAAGCTGTAGTGTAGTGGGTGTAAGGTGTAGTGTAGTGGGTGTAAGGTGTGTAGTGGTGTAAGGTGTAGTGTAGTGGGTGTAAGGTGTGGTGTAGTGGGGTGTAAGGTGTAGTGTAGTGGGTGTAAGGTAGTGGGTGTGTGTAGTGGGTGTAAGGTGTGTAGTGGGTGTAAGGTGTAGTGTAGTGGGTGTAAGGTGTGTAGTAGGTGTGTATGTGTGTAGTGGTGTAAGGTGTAGTAGTGGGTGTAAGGTGTAGGTGGTGGGCTGTAGTGTAGTGGTGTAAGGTGTAGTGTAATGGTGTCAGCTGTAGTGTAGTGGGTGTAAGCTGTAGTGTGCTGGTGTAGTGTAGTGGGGTGCAAGGTAGTGGGTGTAAGGTAGTGTGGGGTGTATGTGTGTGTAGTAGGTGTAAGGTGTAGTGTAGCAGGTGTAAGGTGTAGTGTAGTGGGTGTAAGCTGTAGTGTAGTTGGTGTAAGGTGTAGTGTAGTGGGTGTAAGGTGTAGTGTAGTGGGTGTAAGCTGTAGTGTAGTTGGTGTAAGGTGTAGTGTAGTGGGTGTAAGGTGTAGTGGGTGTAAGGTGTAGTGTAGTGGGTGTAAGGTGTAGTGTAGTAGGTGTAAGGTGTAGTGTAGTAGGTGTAAGGTGTAGTGTAGTGGGTGTAAGGTGTAGTGTAGTGGGTGTAAGGTGTAGTGTAGTGGGTGTAAGCTGTAGTGTAGTGGGTGTAAGGTGTAGTGTAGTGGGTGTAATGCTGCAGGGTTTGGGCATCACCAGGTATACAGACGACACCCCACAAACACTGAATTAATAAGCAAACAAAGATAAACAGTAATTACAACACGAAGCTCCTGAGGCTGACGACACTATCATATCTACACAATCAAAGTTATCGTTTTGAAGTGACATTCTATCGGACACACACACACACACACGCACACACACGCATTGAAGAACACTTGAACAATGCTAAACGCTTAAGAAACACTGCGGAACACTAAGGAATACTTGAGAAACACTGAAAAGTACGATGGAATTTCCTTGAGTACAATGAAGATATATAAACCCCTGAGTACGATGACATTGTACTCCAGGTGTCAAGACTGAAAATCCATATCCTGGTAGGCCAGATTGACGGGCCTCACCTGGGTGGCCGGTTGATACTGCTAACAGATAGGAGTGTGTGTGTGTGTGTGTGTGTGTGTGCGTGAAGTATTAGCAGTAGTATTAATAATGATGATGACCATAACAGCAATAATAATAATGATTATGATTTCACGGTTTATTAACAAATACAGCAGCTATAAGGTGAAAATATGCAAATGACTTAAGTGGTGTTACATAATCATAAATAATATATAATGACAAGGGAAGAGGGATATTAACAATGATTTTCAGCACAATTACGGTATAAAAGTGAGATTTATTTTACAATGGTTGAAATGGGGCTTAAGAGCGATTAGTGTGTGTGTGTGTGTGTGTGTGTGTGTGTGTGTGTGTGTGTGTGTGTGTGTGTGTGTGTGTGTGTGTGTGTGTGTGTGTGTGTGTGTGTGTGTGTGTGTGTGTGTGTGTGTGTGTGTGTGTGTGTGTGGCCAGTAATCTCTTGCACACTCTTTAACTCCCATTTCTTAAGACACTTTCAGGTAAAATAATGATTTACACGTAATGAATAACACAGGTACAGTTTCTGGCCAGAGAATAACAACAGGTTGGTGATATCTTGAGGAGAGCCACTGCATATACCTGTAATATACCTGCAATAATAGAGGGTCTTTACACCTCCCTTGGGACACTGGGTTGAAATCTGTGAGCTAGAAACACTGTAATTTATGGAGGGGCCAGTGCAACACCCCAAGGCCAATCAGAGGGCCAGTGCAAGAGGGCCAGTGCAACACCCCAGGGCCAATCAGAGGGCCAGTGCAATACCCCAGGCCAATCAGAGGGCCAGTGCAACACCCCAGGCCAATCACCAGAGGGCCAGTGCAATACCCCCAGGGTCAATCAGAGGGCCAGTGCAATACCTCAGGGCCAATCAGAGGGCCAGTGCAATACCTCAGGGTCAATCAGAGGGCCAGTAATACCCCACACAATGAGAGGGCCAGTGCAACACCCCAGGGCCAATCAGAGGGCCAGTGCAACACCCCAGGGCCAATCAGAGGGCCAGTGCACACCCCAAGGCCAATGAGAGGGCCAGTGCAACACCCCAGGGCCAATCACCAGAGGGCCAGTGCAATACCCCAGGGTCAAATCAGGGAGGGCCAGTGCACACCCCAAGGCCAATCAGAGGGCCAGTGCAACACCCCAGGGCTTTCAATCAGGAGGCCAGTAATACCCCAGGGTCAATCAGAGGGCCAGTGCACACCCCAGGGTCAATCAGAGGGCCAGTGCAATACCCTGCTGGCCAATCAGAGGCCATGCAATACCCCAGGGCCAATCAGAGGGCCAGGCATAAATCACCCCCAGGGCCAATCAGAGGGCCAGTGCAATACCCCAGGGCCAATCAGAGGGCCAGTACAACACCCCAGGGCCACTCAGAGGGTCAATATAATACCCCAGGGCCACTCAAGGGCCATTTAAATATCTCAGTGAGCTACAGTGCGTGTGGGCCATTGTCACTGTGGTTTATGGAGTTCAGTACAATACCCGAGGGCCACTCAAGAGGGCCATATTCTGGGCCACTCAGAAGGCCACATACTGGGCCACTCACAGCCTCTTCAAGACCTGACATATCACACTAGCTCCTATTATTGATGGATCAGGTTTTCTGTGTGTGTGTGTGGTTTTTACATGTATTTATATGTATATACATAAGTTTACATAGAGAGAGAGAGAGAGAGAGAGAGAGAGAGAGAGAGAGAGAGAGAGAGAGAGAGAGACCCCTTTACCGATCTGTTTACCGGCTGGTGACGTAAGCATCATCGCTTTCCGATTAACTCCACCACCTCTTACCACAATCACCTGTCACCACCACCTCACCTGTCGCCTTCACTCACCACCCGTCGCCTTCACTCCACCACCTTCACCACCCGTCACCACCACCTGTCACCACCACCACCTGTCACCACCACCCTGTCACCACCACCACCACATGTCACCACCACCTGTCACCACCACCACCTGTCACCCACCACTGTCACCACCCACCCTGTCACCACCACACCACCACCACGTCACCACCACCACTGTCACCACCACCACCTGTCACCACCACCACCACCTGTCACCACACCACCACCTGTCACCACCACCACCACCACCACCACCACTGTCACCACCACCACTGTCACCACCACCACTGTCACCACCACCACCACCTGTCACCACCACCACCACTGTCACCACCACCACCTGTCACCACCACCACCTGTCACCACCACCACCACCACCTGCCACCACAACCACCACCACCTGTCACCACAACCACCACCACCTGTCACCACCCACCACCACCTGTCACCACCACCACCACCCACCACCACCACCCGTCATCACCACCCGTCACCACCCACTCACATGTCACCACCACCTGTCACCACCACCACCACCACCTGGTCACCACCACCACCTGTCACCACCCACTCACCTGTCACTACTCACCACCACCTGTCACCACCACATGTCACCACCACCACATGTCACCACCACCACCACCACCGGTCACCACATGTCACCACCACCACCTGTCACCACCACATGTCACCACCACCACCTGTCACCACCACCACCACCATTACCTGTCAGCACCACCACCACCACCTGTCACCACCACCACCACATGTCACCACCACCACCACATGTCACCACCACCACCTGTCACCACCACATGTCACCACCACCACCACAACCACCTGTCACCACCACCACCTGTCACCACCACCACCATTACCTGTCAGCACCACCTTACAGAAGAACCATTAATAGCGTGCAAATAGCCACCCACATAGTACAAGTGAGTTCAAAGGGGATGGTCACTAGCAGTAATTACTAGTCGTGTTGAGGACAAATATTTAACACACATCGAGTTATTATTGACAAAGTACAGTTAATTGACGCTCCAAGAGAGAGAGAGAGAGAGAGGACCTTCAACACCTAAAGCTGCTATTAGAGACACTTTTTTGATGAGACCACTTTGTTTATGGGGGGGGGTGGGGGGGGGTTGAGGTCACTCCCCTCACCACTAGTATGCTGCTTCCTCACTGCTACTTCCTTACCCTACTTACAGTACGTCACCATGCCCCTCATTGCCACTTACCTCTCTCTCTCTCTCTCTCTCTCTCCCCAGGTGAACCAGTTGTTGTACAGTCGTTACATTAGTCAAGTACTGTACTCTAATCATGTTCCTCTTTACTGTAGTTATACTGTACATCAGCTAAGATAGAGGCCCTTGTGTACTCCTGTTCAGTACTGTATTACATCTTATACTGGTTCTTATCTTTTCAGAAAAACTTCATTAAGACGTCAAAGTACACGTTACTAAACTTTGTACCATACAACTTGTTCGAGCAGTTCCAGCGCCTCGCAAACTTCTACTTCTTGTGTTTGTTGGTTCTCCAGCTCATCCCAGTCATCTCTTCTCTCTCACCCATCACAACAGCCGTTCCCCTCATTGGGGTGCTCACAGTCACGGCAGTCAAAGATGCCTATGATGATTATGTAAGTACAGTACATGTACACTACAGTACTGTATAACACTTAATCCACATTTGTCAGTATTGCATTGAGACAATAATAAAAACTTTCCCTTGGTGTACCTTGTCATACTAGAGGCATGATAGTACGGTACAGTACAGTAGTTATATCTCCGTTAGCTGGAATTCCTCAAACCCGGAACTCTCCGATAGCCGGAATTGAAATTTTCTCGGAAAATTGTTCCCGATGCCATAATTTTCTGGAAAATTCCGGGAATTGGGAAGTTTTTTCTTGGTTTGAGACATGAAAATCAGATGCATTTTCTGGAAATTCCGGGGATGAGGGATTTTTTTCCGGCTTTGAGAGAGTCGTCTCGTTACCCGGAAATCTCTCATTCCCGTAAGTGCTCTGCACCAATTGTTCCGACTAACAGAGATATTACTGTACAGTGCAGTACTTGTATTTGTGCTTCCATCCATCCATCCGTGTGTGGACCTGACAAGATCTCAAATGAATTTGACAATCATTATTTTTTTGTCTGCATTTTGGGGAGTTATAACTCATTTTGTTCCCCTGTGTTTGTGTCTACAGTCTCTATAGCAGATAATGTTAGCGATCAAGTAGTAAGGGTACAGTACTGTACTGTATATGTATTTTCTGAGTTATTAAGGTACAATACTAAAGTTATTTCAGGAAAGCCAGTTACCATATGTAATTTTTAGCCTGACCCTCAACCACCTGCAGGCATTAGCTACCAGGCAATTTCATATTAGAGAAACAAATCTTTTTAATAGCTCAGTTAAATTTAAATATTGCCATATTAAATGTTTTAGGTTTTGAAATAAACTGTTGAGGGAATACCTTACCACACATGTTAGGCTTCCCTCCTTGTTATTGGTAATATTTATCTCCTCAGCAACGCCACCGGAGCGACAGCCAAGTCAACCGGAGAAAATCATCTGTTTTAAGAAACGGCCAACTAGTTGAAGAGTATTGGAGTAAGGTGCTGTGTCTTCTCTTAAGTTTTGGTATTTGAAATATTCTGTATGATATAATGTTGTTTTTCATATCTTGTGACAGTTTGTTGCTATGTATTTGTTATTTTCTCACATAGAATTACAGTATTTTGTGAATATTGCAGGTAGTGGTAGGAGACGTAATTCGTATGGAGAATGACCAATTTGTGGCAGCAGACGTGCTGCTTATTTCTACGTCTGAACCAAACGGCCTCTGTTATATTGAAACATCAGAGCTTGACGGGTATTTGTCTTTTTAAATCTTGTTAGTGTAGTAATTTTAATATCCTGTAGAATTGTACCATTTTGGATTATGGTACTGTACAGTACATTTAAATTGTACAACAGGATATGGCTTGCGAACTGTACAGGAAATCCTCCTTAGTGACTCTTATTCCTACTTCACCACATGTTACGTATTAATAAAACTAATGGCCCTTGTGTGTGAGTGATGTGATGTGACCTGGGTTGACCTCCCAAGACCTGGCTTGCCCCCTAAGACATGGCTTGGCCCTCCCAAGGGCTGTCTTGCTCTCCAAGGAAAATTTTAATTATATTCCTTTTTCATATACTGTAGACAAATTTGGATTTGGTGAGAACATCTCAATGGTACTTTTACTATGCATAATTAAACAAAATAATAAGTATTCATCAATTTTCATCGTTCCCATTGCCTATCATTTATAAACTGAATAGCAGCAAGGAAGTAAATCATATTGCTAGCAGCCACACGGTCACACCTGGCAAATGCAAATTGAAAATATAAAACGTGTTGGAACATGTTCCATCTGTTACAGCACCACCCAGAGGCACCACAGTAGAGCAAGATTTTGACCCCTACTCTTTGCATGTAATGGTGACCCCCCCCCCCAGCAAAATCTGAAATGACACCCCTGACTCCTGTGTTTGCCAGAATGTATTGTACAGTAGCTAAAACAACTACCCTGTATCTGTGCAGGTGGGGATCAATATGCCCCGAAATTTTACGTGTCACTAGTGACAGCCCTCATATACCAATACTGTATTATCGTCCATGGTCTCATATTGTTTCCCACAAAGTATGCACAGATAGTTGTTTTAGCTACTGTACATGGCACATTATACTGTACAGTACTGTACACTAGTAATTCTGGTAAATAATTTAAATTAAACTTTTGTTTGCATTGTTTTATCATGATCTTAAAAAAAAATATTTATTATTCCCCACTCAAAATTTTGACAGGTAATGTACAGTGTGGACATCATTTCATAAAATTTATTGTAAGGTGGTTTTCATGATTGTTTGAGAAAAAATTATCAAGCTTGTATATTATGTGATTGTCATGAATTGGAAATGTTAAAGAATTATTTTAATAATTTGCAGAGAAACAAACCTTAAATGTAAGCAGTGTCTGCCAGAGACAGAAGACTTGGGACAGGATGACAGTCTTATTGGAGTGTTCCGAGGGGAGATACGCTGTGAACCTCCAAATAATCAACTCAACAAGTTTGATGGAGCCCTACACTGGGAGGGCAATATGTAAGTGGATTGCTTTTCACTTTGTGCAGGTTCCCTTGCACTTTTTTCCAGTAATTGGGAAAAAAAGGAGTTCATAGTGGTGCTGGGATGTTTGTCCAGTGTCTAGTGTTCATAGGGTTTATTATTGAGTAAAACTAATGCATTGACACAGGACACATTTCATCACTACATGAGGTGGACAAAATTTTTTTAGTGTTGGTAGTCAGGATTGTGGATGAAGGTCGAAGGTTAGATTACTAATGCCATATATTGTACAGGTATCCCTCAATTAGCATTAATTTGCTTTAGCAATAAAATTTTTTTTGATACCCTCTCTCGCTTAACGTTAGTAATAGTTTGACTCGCTGGGGAGGGGGAAAAACTAGGGACGAGGTAGCCTGTGAGATGCCTGTGCATGTTGCCATTGTTACATGTAATGAAACTATAAAAGTTGTGAAAAAATCATTACAATACTCATTGTGGCCTAGAAATAAAGAAAATATAATATAAAACTATAAAATAAGAAAGATGAAAAGCATGGATGCGTATGTATGGAGGCAGTGGGCTGTAACTGTGTCGCCAGCCCAGCTGTGCTCCCTCCCCTGATGTGACATCATGGCATACACACAGAGCAGCGCGGCCACAGCCACACACGTCTCTGAGTCAGCTGGGTGACTGCCTGGCTGAACTGTGTCACATCGCCCAGAGGATGGTGTGAGTGTGGAAGGAATCATTTTTTGTACATAAAACAGTCAACTCTCGATAACTCGGAATATATTGGGCTCTAACCATTTCAAGTTATCAAATTTTCCCAGTTATCAAGGCACTTTCCCTCCGGTCTTTTGTCTCAGCCCAATACCCAACTTTCTGACCAAATTAACCTACCATAGTCAGAAAACTTACACAAATATTTACACTTACAACACTGCAGGAAAAGGATGAGGATAATTCAAGTTTGTGGCGTCATGTGGTAGGTGTCAGAGGTGATGGGGGGGAGGGGGGGCCTCTGCGCTACAGTACAGTACTGTACAATACAATTTTGTATTATTAGCACTTACAGCACCAATTTACCAGCAACTACTTATGGTCACGAAATAAGGGTGAAACAGAGGGACACCAGAGTTAACACTGAGAAATTTTATTTTTCATATCTCTCTCTCTCTCTCTCATCTGTTACATGCACACACAATCTTTCATACAGAATGTGAAAAAAAAATTATTATAAGGTCAAAAACATGAAGGGAATACCGCATAAGCATTTCTTTCATGTGTTGAAGTTATCACATTGAACGTGGGAGGGGAGGTGGAGGGGGTATAGAGTCTCCCACCCATCCTATGAGGGTCACACGTATTATGCCATTTCAAGATTGTGTCATCATATCTCTGAATATTGCAAGTTATGTAAAGAAATAATTCATAAATAATTTACAGTTGAATATTTTACTGCCATTCAGAGTTATAGCGAATTACGAGTTATCATATTCCAAGTTATCAAGGGTTTACTGAATATGTGCTATTATATTTCATGGTATGCTATGTACAGTATCAATTTTAATATTTACCATAGCATTTTTTTTTAATTTTTGACGTATGCAATTTGAATTTTTTTCACATTAGCCTCACCTTGTGCTCACTAAATACTAGATGAACTCTGAACCACATCATTTATATATACTTTTTGGTGTTAATAAGTCAATTGTTTAACTTTGTAACAATTTATAACGAACTCGTTTAAAGTGAGGGAGAACTGTACTCAGTGTTTACCGCTCTGCCGTTTGAACCTGTTGTTCACCTTCCATGCTTTACTGTTATCCCTCTTTTGGCGATAATTCCCCTTAACGATAGGTTTTTCAGCAATACAACCCCATCGTTAAACGAGGGATACCTGTATTGTACTGCACTACTCTCTCTTCCTCCTTCATATAAAGGAAGAACAGAGCAAAAAGATTTCACTTTACCAGTTCATATGTTTTTGGTATGCAAATTTTATTATGCACAGTATTATTATACAGTAGTCCCTCGGTTAACGAACACAATTCGTTCCAGAAGGTCGTTTGTTAACCGAAACCATTGTTTCAATGGATTTTTTGGGTAATTGGTTCCAGTTCACCGAAAATTATCTAACGTAAAAAAAAATGCAGTAAAGTACACTTACTTTGTGGTGTACATGTAGGATGCTCCTGGTTGATGATGATGATGATGATAGGAATTAGAAGTGGGGGTGGAGGAAAAGGTAGGGTTGCCATACGTCCGTAGTTTCCCGGACATGTCCTCCATTTAGGTCTCGAAATCTTCATCCGGAAGTAATTTTTAAAATTCTTTAAAAGTCCGGAATTTCAGCTTTCATCATTTTCTCCAATGAAAAAAAACATGAAACTGTAATGACGAGGGAGAGAGACTGTGAGAGAGGGGAGGTGGAAACAGTAGAGATCTCGTTCAGTTTTCGTCAGCTGATAAGTCACGTGTACCGTACTCCTGTACGGTGTTGTCAACTTAGCTGCTAGCAGTTTTTGGGCTAGCCTGTAGTGCCATGTACTGCTTTTCCTTGTTCTTCAGCCACGCGCATTATTAAATTTGTTTTTGTATTTAGTGCTATTCCAGCCATAAATGAAATGTTGAAATTATATACTATTTTTTCTTATGGCTTTGCAAATATGCAAAATTTATTCACGGCTGCTTCAAGGTTACATAGCGCCAAAGTGTGTGTCGGGCGGGGGGATGTCTTCTGGAGCATCCTCTTTTTTTAATGTTCAGATATGGTAACCCTAGGAGAAGGGAGAAGAGAAGGAAGTGGGGGTGGAAGAGAAATTACCCCATGCTTCATGCTGCCATTTCACCCATAAAATTTTAAGTTCACTTGGTGTAATTCAAGATTATTTTCTTTAAATCAACACTGCACTGCATTATATATTGTTAATATGTAAAATAAATTTCAGAATGACCAATAATTGTACTATAAAAACATAAAAATAGTTAATGTTCAAGAGAGTCTCAAGCAAGATGCTTCCTCCACTGAGCAGAGACACAAACTGATGCCATTCTGGGGGAGTCAAGTGGCTGTTTGGCGCGCTAAAAACTAGTTCCCTTGTAAGAGCGCGCAACACAAGTTGCCCCCTTTTAAGGGCTTGGCACTCTTACAACAATTTACGTTAATACTCTGACCTGGTAGCGTGACGCGAGAGGAATGCCCATGGGTACATGTAATTATAGTATCGAGTATTAGGGAAAGAACAACGGTGAATACTATAGGTGAATCATAGACCCACATACAAATACACCGTTTATTGAAACACAAAAATGGTTACAGAAAAGACGCTGTATGCACCCAAAATAGGAACTCCTGGTACCATGCCCTCAGGCTCAATTTACTTACACCACTACCGGGTGTACACACACCAAAACACACAAACTCTCACAGCACTGTAGCACCATTAAAACCAGTGGCACCTGCCAGTACAACACTCAATGCCCCAGGGGCAATACTCCAGCGGCCGCCAGGGGAGTCTCATCACCAAGTGACACCTTCCAACACTCTGATAATTCCGCTGGGATAACACCGCCACACAAATAGCCCTACTGAGTTATGTACTCATCTACCAATGATGGGGCTGGCAGTTGTTTGGGGGCTTGACGATCCAGGTTCACCACGTGGGCATAGCGTTAGGGGAATACTGGCCAGCTATGGGGCCCATAGGTGGCAGTGGAGCTTCTGACGGTCGGGGTTCACGGGGATAACCGATTCTACTGGACCTCAGACATCTCCCCAGACTAGTGGATGCGTCATCCATGCTACAGACATGGCCTAGGCTGCGATAGGGACCTGTGGGTGGGAAGCGTGGCGGCTTACTGACTGTTTATAACAAACTCAACGTTTCAAAGGGACATCAAGGACATAAAATACTTCACTCAAAGCACATTAACTACGTTGCTTTAACCCTTGCGCAATCAAACTATTAATCAGGTCAAATTACTTAAAAATGGCGAATTACAACCCGGAGAAGGTGGAATGACCTACCTGTGGGTGGGAAGCGTGGCGGCTTACTGATGGTTGAACTGCCCGCCGCCTTCCACCCACGCCAAAGTCACGGATTCCACCTACTTAACCATTTCACTGAATTACGTTGCTGTAACACTCCGACGTTTGAAACTGAGACTACGAACTCAGTTTCATTCCCTACTATTATCATTACAAACAATGCTCTGACTGAGCTATCAAAAGCAAGAAATAAATTGATCACAAAAGGTTGGATGGCAACAGGTCCCAACACGCAGCGCCTTGCTACAAACCCGAGCAGCAGATTCAAAAAGGTTCCCTTGAGAATATTAACTAATTCCTCAGTTAACCTTCCTACCACAATTTCACTATGATTATCAGTTTCTGCTAATCATAGGTGAAAAAAAAGGTTTACAGGGTAGCAGAAAGAGTTTACAACTCGGTCAACAACTTACGACATCTCGATGACGTCATCAAGGAAACAGAGAGAACGGAGGACATTTCCACTGGGAGACTCAGAAGGATTTGTGGACGTGTAAGCGTAATATGGATCATTAGTTTAACAGGTTAGCCGTCATTACGATCATGACACCCTGTACTTCAATTATGTTAAATAATTGTTAAAATTACTAAAAATTTTAATATAAGACTTGGAAAATTATTGAATAGTACAACCTTCTTGATATTTACTCAAATGGTAACGATATTAAGCCCTAAAACCGATTACTGTATTGGTGGATTAATACTACAGCTGGTGAGCAGGCAAAAGCAGGCGAAAATATGTTGGGAAAAATTCTTAAGGAATTCGTTAACCGAATTTTTTTCGTTAACCGAATTAAATATTCTTATGGAAGGTAATTCGTTAACCGAAATTTCATTAACCGGGGCGTTCGTTAACCGAGGGATCACTGTATTGTATATTATTATGGATAGTAAGGGAATGACTTGTAATAAGCCTGCTGGCTCACACACTGTGATGTTGAATGGTGTTGGGGGAAGTACCAGCTACTAACACGGGGTGGGTGAAGCAACAGGTTTGTCTGAGGGATATTTTGGAGCCTTGTTGTGCTACAACAGCTAGAATGAAGGAATTACAACAAAGGAGTGTGTGCTGCTCTTGACACAGGCCAGACTGTACTGAAGTAGGAAGAACTTGCAAGAGGGAGGAAGGAACTTTCATGGGGCTGTGGGAACCTTTCATGTTCCATGGTTGTTTTTTATTAGTAGTTAACCATTAATCTAGTGCATTTGTTTGATGTTTTACTGTAACTTATTTAATATAGACAAATTTTAATTGTTTCCTGTTCACTTTCAGACATCCACTGGATAATGACAAAATCCTTCTAAGAGGCTGCATACTGCGCAACACACAGTGGTGCTATGGAGTGGTTGTATTTGCTGGCAAAGATACTAAACTTATGATGAATTCCGGAAAAACAAAGTTCAAACGCACAAGCATTGATAGATTGTTGAATTTCATTATTTTAGGGGTAAGTTTAGTAATAGTAAATACACATTTGAATTCATATTTAAAACAACATTGCAAATATTTTTTTTTTACTTATTTATGAAAATAATTGTACCCCATATTGTATAGCCAACATAATCATCCTGAATTATCTCATACTGATGGTTGTGTTGATACCATAATGTTGTTACTCCACACTCTAACAACTGACTGGGTATGGTACAGATAGTACGTACAGTAGTGAGGTATCCCCGTGTAGTACATGATAGGGTGGAGGAGAACTGCTTAAACCACACATTATTTCAATTAGTATGATACTGAATTACTATACATACAAATCAAGCAATGGAGTTATTTTTTCTTGTCTAAAAAATATATTCAATAAGTTACAACTCTGAGGTAATAATATGTTTATTATTGGCAACTTTGTATTTTTTATCAGTTCTTATGTTTGTATCAACTAACACAAGTTTCCTTTTCAGATTGTATTTTTTCTTCTATCCATGTGCCTGTTTTGCACAGTGGCCTGTGGTATATGGGAGACACTCACAGGTAATCAATCTATAAGTAGAGGTAAACAGTTTATAGGCACTGTACACTTACACAACTTATAAAGTACAGTGGGATATAAATAGACTTAATTCAACAGATTATAGGTGTAGTTTCATAAAACATTTTATAAATAGATTAAAACAACTTATAAGTACAGTACAGCTACTCCTCGACTTACGACCTACTCGACTTACGACCACCCGGACATACGACCGCCTCAGTCGTACCAAAATTTTTTCAAATTACGTATTTTCGAGTCCCGACGTTAGTGATTGCACTGTGTACTGACAAATTTTTTTTGTAATTCACTTTAAAATGGCTGGCAAGCTTAAAAGTGAGAGTTTTGTGGTGCTGAGAAGAAAAAGAGACGCCCATTTTAGATGTTCTATGTATTATTTAAGCATTTTCGAACTTACGACCAATTCGACTTAAACATGGATTTGGATCCCTAACCCCGTCATAAGTTGAGGAGGAGCTGTACTCATAAAAATCTTAAGGATAAGAGTTAAACAACTTTTGGGCTACACAGTTCTTATTATTAGCTTGTGATTGTTGTGCTGGCAGCAACTCCTACACCTTATAATAAAATAGTCTGAGTTGATTTAGGGCCACCATCCTCACTTGTGATGGCCAAACCATTTTTATTGATGAATTTATTTTACAGGCAAAAATTTCAAAATGTTAGTAAATTTCATATTTTCTTGGACAACATTACAAAAATATTGTAAACATTAGTTTTTTATCTGTGCTCAAATGTTTATAAATCTTATGCTTTGCCGGCCAGTACATCATAGTGTACGTCAGTCTTGTATATTGCAATTTAATACTATCTGAGAACATATGTAAACCTCATGTTTTAAAGGCTAATACCTCAAAAATGTAATGTGTGATGCTGTGTTGTTCGCAATAAGAGGGATAAGCAGATAGCTATTTAGGGTGTTGTTGTGTAATGGGAATACAATAACAGAACATATTTATGACAGTATTAAATGTTAATGAAGGATGAGAGTCTTTTTGTTCTCAATTCTGGAAAAGGCTTGAAGAAGTGAAAGAAAAAATCTAATACAGTATATACATGTATCTGCAGCACTGTACACATCAATGTATTATTTCAGGACAGTACTTCAGAGTGTACTTGCCGTGGGACAACCTCATACCAACAGACCCTGCAGGTGGTGCGACTGTGATAGCGCTTCTTGTGTTCTTCTCTTACGCTATTGTCCTCAACACCGTGGTGCCTATTTCACTATATGTTAGGTGAGTGTTCTCCTCTGTTCTGTCCACCTGACATAAGAGGAAGGAATACAGTGATCATTTTTGTGGACATATTTTTGTGTTAATTCCTTAGTAGTTGCTAATTATAGAAGTATGAAATTTGTTGTGTGTTCACTAAGAGGTCATAGCTTGAGTTCAGAGTTGCCACAATACTGTTTTCAGAACCATTGTATGTATGTGTATATGTTTAATGAAAACATTTATTGAATGGCACAAGCAGCGAACAGAACATACTGGATCAGAGTATATGACTGTGTGTAGGACTGTTGTTTGTTTAGTGAGGGCACACAAAGTTGAATACTGTACTGTATGACAGAAGTTCAAGAAGCTTTTTGTGGTAGTGGTTAGAAAATTTTTTTGCAGTTATGAATGGGCTGGAGGTTTGGAACTACTGTGCCTTCTTCCACTTCAGATGGTCAGCTTGCCTTATATTTTCCTCTTTTTTTTATGACAAAGATATCATGTACAAGTGACCTTGATTGGATTTCTTTGAATGAGGAATTTTCGATTGAATTTCAACCAAGTTATCTGTACACCATAGACATCTCTGTCATCATTTGTCCTGTAGGGGTGAACAATATTCTGCGCTATATAAAGGATTCGGAAGAAGACTTTTTGTTGTCTTGATCCTTTAAATGTAACTAAGGTATCACTTGCTTATGAATGTGCTGTAGACTTTATTAGTAAAATTATCAATAAAAGCTTTGCAGTTGGTAATTTTTTGCTATCGGAGAAGTAAGCTTTATTGCGTCCACTTTTTAGAAACCTGGTCTTAATACTGAAAATGTGTCCGGTCTCCAATCTCCCATTCTTTTCAAAGATCATAGAGTGTGCTATGGTGGAACTTCCTTTGTTAGAGAGAAATGAAGTGATCCTGTTGGTCCAGTCAGTCTATAGGAAGCAGCATTCAACTGAAACTGCCGAATATAAAACTCATAATGATTTGATAATAAACACATGCACAGGAAAGTCCTCCCTTCTGGTTTTCCTTGAGCTCTCTGCAGCCTTTGACATGGTGGATCATCATCTGTTACTTCAGGATATTTGGTCATTTGGTGTCAGTTTTGATGCAGTCTCACTACTTAGTCTTATTTGTCAGAGTGACCTCAGTGTGTAATGGTTGGTGGAACTATTTCAGACACAGTCAATTTGCAGTTTGGAGTTCCACAGGGATCAGTTTTGGGATCACTGCTGTTTACACTCTGTATCAGTAGTCTTGTATCTCATGATGTTGCTTACCATTTTTATGCCAATAATACACAGCTTTTTGTGCAAATAATAAATGTTGAAGACATAGAGGAGATAATGAAATCCTTGATGTCTGATATTAAGATTTGGATGGCTTGGGATAAAATTACTGGTAAGCTGAATGATGGCAAAACATCACAGATGATTTTGGCTCTTTTCAACTTTGGGGAAATACAACTTAGTCCTGTCGATTCTGTCAGTAATCTTGGAGTGTACTTTGACTCAAAACTGAATTTTAAAGACTATATAAATTCAGTGGTTAAGAGTTGCAACTCTCATATACGAAAAATTATGTGTTGTGAAATAGTATGGTCTATTCGCCGCACTACAAAGAGAACTTAAAGTTGAATCATACCAAAGAGAGCCCTCTCATACTGTAATTTTCTTTGTGACCTCTGTACAATAACAGTCTGAAATAGACAGGAAGACATCATTATATAATTTAACCCATCTTAGAGGACAAATCAGAAGAGTTTACCCAATTCAAGAATGATTGACTTTCTCATTAATCATGGTCTTGTCAATGAATTCTACTGAAGGTTTTACTGTAAGAAGGGGGTCGTGGGACATTAAAACCAAAAGTATCCCAAAAATGGTCAAACTGCTGAACTGATCAGGTAAACTGCAACATCTAATACACAATCTCAGTCAACAGGAGACAAAACTAGGCCTAGAGTGTGTCCAGAAAAATGGTAGACACAACACATGATTCACAAAATGTTTAGATCGAGAATTTCCAAGTACAGCTCCTCCCCGACTTACGACCTACTCGACTTACGACCACCCGCACTTACGACCTGCCTCAGTCGTACCAAAATTTGGTCAAGTTACGTATTTTAGAGTCCCAAAGTCACTACACAGACAAAATTTTTATTTGTAATTCACTTTAAAATGGCTGGCAAGCTTAAAAGTGAGAGTTTTGTGGTGCTGAGAAGAAAAAGAGACACCCATTTTAGATTTTCTATGTATTATTTAAGCATTTCCGACTTACGACCTGGATTTGGGTCCCTAACCCCATCGTAAGTCGGGGAAGAGCTGTACTATATAAAATACTTAATTTTGAAGCTTATTTTAGCTATCTCTTCTTTAATTGAGTTTATTTATTATCTTACAGTGTGGAAGTGATTCGATTGTGGCAGAGCTTTTTGATCAACTGGGATGATGCCATGTGCTACATACCAAGTGGCACCCACGCCAAAGCCCGTACAACTACTCTCAATGAAGAGCTGGGACAGATAGAGTATATATTCTCTGACAAGACTGGAACCCTCACACAGGTATCACTAAGGACCTATAGAGCACTAACATTTAGATATTTTTAATAAACAATATGCATGCGGGTATACATTTACTTTTTTATATATAACTTGGCAGGTAGGTCGGTTGTAATTCAAAGATAAACTGACAAAAATTAAGAGAATGTGTCAAGAGTTGAAATAAAGTGAATCATAATAAAAGTTTCTTGAGGATGTGTTTTGAATAGCGTAAGTTAATGTATTCTTCTTAAAGATTGCATAACTGGGTGAAAATGTCTCGCCTACATAAGGATGACGATGTGATTATTTGATTTTATAGTATATGTATTAAGTAATGATAAGAGTATGGATGTTAATTTTCTAAATTCTCTTTGGCAGAACATTATGGCATTCAACAAATGTACTATAGCCGGGCGAAGCTTTGGGGAGGTTATTGATCCCAGAACAGGTGACCTCTTAGAGATCAATGAGGTAAGGATGTGTGGTCTACTCTTAGCATTTATTTATTTTTGGGCATTTGTAAATGATTGACGTGTTAGTTTATGGACATATTTTTATTCTTCTCAAGTGAAATACTGATTATTTACTATAAGTGGAACTTGGGCCAAAATGTTAGATATTTTACACATTAATATTTTCTGCAACATACAAAAAATTACATTAAAGATTTTTTTACACAATTGTTGCAAAATTTTAAGAGGAAATGAATGACAGTAAATTATGAAAATGTTTGTTTGCACTTTGTATCAGTCCCTCTACCTCATAACAGAAGACGGCTGGCCAGAGTGAAACAAAAAAGATTAGTTTTGTGTACAGTACATTAAATAAAAAAAAAAGAAGCCATTTTGTGGCAAATAATTAGTATTTTATTATGTGTTCACTTGTTTACACATTTTTCTTTTAATTATTGATATTGTAATATAGTTTGCTTTTGTGGTGTGGTGAGACTTAACTGATCCTTGAGATATGAAATGCTGCACTGGCAGTGTCCAAGTTGTGTACAGTACAGTATTCTACAGGTGGTTTTCAACTGGTAAAAACAGCCTAATGTATTGATGAATGATTGTAACCTATCACCTAGTGGGGAAAGGCTTCAAACCCATTAATTACCAGGACTTCAAAAGCCAGTGAGGACAAATGATCGTACATTACAATTGTGACCACGAGATATTTTACTGGTTCAACTTCATTTCCTAAGGTGTTGGCAGGTCAACACCTCTTCAGTACCTCTGGAGAGATTACAAAGGTGTATTGTCCTGGTTTTTCATCACTTATTAATCCCTAGATATTTTGCTGGTTCCTATTTCATGTTGATCAACCATAGGGAATACTGCCAGTTCCTCCATTCTTGTATGAAGCAGATGGCCAACAGTTGGGCTCAGTCATAATATTTCATGAAGAAATAAATTAATGTGTTGCTCTGGTGTATATTTCCGGCTAGTGCTCACCTGTTTCTGGATGAATTTTTTCTTCCTGTAGGAAACCTCTTGCACTGTGAGTTTTTAAGGATGAGTGTTGTTTGTGTGACACTAGACCACCACCACCACCACCACCACCACCACCACCACCACCACCACCTCCTCCTCCTCCTACTATTTTTACATCCTGAAAACAAGTTTCATGGGTCATTCAAGAATCTCAGCACTTATAAAAGAAAGATTGATTCCATGCAATCTGTTTTTTGTAACTTGGAGATGCATGGGTGACCTGGATTTCTTTTCCACCTCCTTAGGGAGAGTTCCTCACAGGTCAGCAGGTGTGAGGATAAATTAGTGGAATAAGTTACTGTGATGTAGCATAACAAGCAAAGAACCTCCCATCACATTTAACAGAACTTTATAATCCATTTTCTCCCTTGATCTTGAAGCCATTAAGGGGTTAAAAGCCTCATTCTGTTAGATGTGGTTATGATTGGTCATCAACATAAAAAGTTTGTTTTTACTGGTGATATTCCTGGTGTAGGGCTGTCCATCATTATATCTTACAATTTGCCTCTGCTGACATTAAAAGGTAATTCAGGAATTTCATAACAATACAAAATGATTAACATTCCCTTTGTAAGAATATCAGATTTTACAACTTAACTTGGTGAGTATTTTTTCAGGTGTAATACATAAAGTTAAATTATAGGGCTGATGTACTTCTTCCTCTGCTGGAATTTATGAGTTTAATTTATTGGGTTTAATTTCCTCTAGACATGATTGCTTGTCCCACTTAATGTCCTGCCCTAAATAACAGGTTATCTATTTGTGAATTGGGAACATTTATGCATTGCAGTATATGATGTGTGGGTTATACCAGGAGTTTCTTGTAATTTACCTTTTAATCTTTGCTATTTACCCAGTACTCGGTGAATGATCCTGTACCTGTTTGTGGAGCCACGATCACAGCTACCTAATTAATGCATTGCAAAACATGTATGGGATGAAATTTTAAATTACTGTATGTGTGCATTTGACTTTTGACACTGGAAAAATTAAATATTCTCTCCGCTTGCCTAATGACACTTGGAAAACAAAATATTCCATCCATCTGATCATTGACATCAAACGTCTTCAGCATTAAATATGGCACAGACATGAGTACCCATTCTCGTCATAAGATAGAATCATCCTTATATGTAACAGCCATTGTCATTAGCTAGTCCTCTACCACTTGTATTTCAAAGTCTGTAAGAGTGAGATTGACATCCCATTATACACCCTGTATATAATCTAGATCAAGGTTGTTCATTTATCCTCTTTGTGTCCAATTTTTCTTTCTTTCATATCTTCCCAGTATTCATGTCCTCCTTTTCTGCCTGGACTACCATCTGTTGTATTTCTTCTCTTAAATACAATGACAACTTAATCCCCTGAGGACCAATTTCATCATCCTCGGATAGATAGACCAGTGTATTTGAAGGGTTAGGATATTGTGCTCAAAGGATAAAGTCAATGTACTCATGTGATTAGATTATTGTCCTCAAGGGGTTAAGATACATTAATCACAGGAATAAGTTATTGTACCCAAGATTAGCATTGTAAACACAGACCACAACACAAGCATGTCCTCAGCTGCATTTAATCTCTAATAATTGTTTCTCTCCCTTGACCCACTACTCATGTGTCACAATGTCTGAAGTTACCATTTACAAGAAGAGGGTTTAGGTCTGTTACCCTGGAAGTGCTCATGGCTTGAGTAACATTGTAGGTGCATCAGTCATCTCCATGAATATCTATCCTGCATGATCACTCACACACAAGCTTACTGAGAGAACTTTTTAACCAATGCTCGATCCCTTTTATATTTTCCATTCTTTTTACCACATGACCACTGTAGCCTCGTGGATGTTCTCTTACATAACCTGACGTTCTGCTACAGTATTTTTGTGTTGGTGTTACTATGTGTATTTGATATGTTAGTTATTTTGTATATCAGGTACTTGGTTCATCTCTCTTCATTATGTAGCTGTTTATGTCATGTTGTTTATGTGTTTTAGTTATCAAATATTTTTGTTGTATGTGTGTTTAAGCAGCAGTATTTTTGTTTACTTTTTATGTACAGTATGTGTCCCACTTCTCTGCTGTGCTTTAGACCCTTCTTGCCCAGGAATGTTTCCACCTCATGGTAGGAGCAAGTACAGTATTATGACTTAAGTAAGGTAACTTGATCAGGTCAAGTCAAGTCACCTTAAAAAATTTTTTTTCTTGACATTTGAAGGTGTGCATTTGTCAGTACCCAAAATTATGAAGAGTAAGAGTGAGTGAGTGAGAGAGATTTTGTGTGCGTTACCTTGCCCAGGCTGTAGGAAAAGGCATCATGATAAAAAGAAAACAGATGTACATTATGTGTTTAGTGTAACATATAAGGGTACGTATACTATAATACGATAATTAGAATAATTTTGTGTTTACATTATTTACTGTTTGTTACCAGTATCTAGTGTTAATAATTGTATTTTTATTGTTTTACTGCCTCTTATTGATGGTGACTTGACTTTGCCTCACGTATTGCTGGCACGGTCAACATATTTACTGGCAATGATAAAGTCGGGGACTTGGGTCAGAAAGAAAAAAAGGAAGCGGTCACATAGGCAAGATGTGGGTTTGAGGAACTACACGGAAGAAGATGCAGATGAAACTCAGGTTGTTCTGCTTAGTGCCGAGGCTAGTTCAGACGCCGACACGTGGGTGGAGCTGCAGACGTTGAAACACAATAATGATTCAGAGTTTAGTGACAATGCTTACAACACAAATTCAGGGCATTGTTACTCTGATAGTTTACCGAACCTGTCGTCTTCCACGCACGAGCTCGACAGTCTACCACCAGTAATTATATCTTTGTGTGTCGCTGCTGTGCTAGCTATTGTTGTCCATGTTGTGGCTATTGGGTTAGGTGCCTCTGTAATGTCTGTACAGCTCCTACAATTTCTGAATCTATTTATCAGTTAGTTTAAATTTATGCCAAATATTCAGCACTGAAAAAATATTCCATTTAAAATACATAAGGTTTGTTAGAGCTGTACAGAAGAAATAAATGAAAATACTTATACAGTAAAACTGTCTAAAGATAACTGACTTAATTGTGCCTAAATTAATTTAAATTTCTTTAACAACTCTAAAATTTATTGATTTAATGGATAAAGAAAGGTTTCAGTTCATAAATTTATTAACGATTAAAGAAACCTTTGTAGCTTTACTTGGTCGATTGTGTAAAAAATGGGAGGTAAGAATATGTAGTGTGCGTGCGTGCATGTGTATGCGTGCGTGCATGCATGTGTGTGTGTGTGTGAGATTATATACATACAGTACAATATAATTATTATTATTTCTTATTATTAAGAAATGAAATAGTTGCTGTGTGAGTGTGAGTGCGTGCATTTGTGCGTAATTATATACATACAGTAAAGTACAATATTATTATTATTATTAAAAAATTAATTAGTTGCAGTGGTGGGTAGGACTTTGTACTCTGCTCAATCTGTGGCTACAGTTTGATGATGGTATTGTTTCACATTATTAAAGAACTTTATTTTGCTAAATGTGTTACACTGAAAGAATTTTTTTTTTGTCTTGTACACTTACACAAACAGTGTCTCATGATCCTCAAGACTGGCTGAAAACATCACAGCTTTGTACTTTGTTTTGTTTTTTATAAGTCTGCCTCAATATACACCTGTCGTGTAGTGTATGAGTTGTCTAGTGCTTCACTGTAGGTTAATATAGCTGTATAATGTTGCTCACTTATCTCCTGTATTTATATTAGTTCTACTTGTACAGTTTATGGTTGTAAAGGGAATACAGTATATAATAATCTATGTAGGTCACCTCTAAATGTCATGACACTGAAGGTTACAGCTAATTCATGGACACATATGTTTTGTTTGATTAATTGTTTTATTTGGATAGTATAACTTTGGAATACCAAATAATTAGAAGAACAAAGTATGGAAAATCAATGAAATTTACACTTCATTTCTTGCCACAAAAGCAGGGTAACCAAATTTTGACCCACATTAAACTTGTCAAAATTTTATTATTGCTAAAGCAAATTTATGCTAAACAAAGGAAACCTCTAAAATTTTTGGATACTGATCATTCTGATAACAAGGGATACCTGTAGAAGGTCCATATTCTTTCTTATAGTTACCTCCCATATTTTAAGGGCATCCATGTAGAATATTGTCCACAAGTCTCCTTGATGATTAACTAAACCATTCTCTTATATACTGTACCTGTATAATCTCTGTGGTTGGCTGGTTAAGTAGAGAGATGTAGGAGTGGAAGGTCCTATTAAATTTATCCATTTTATATATAGTGCTATATTGTGCAACACTTTTGCATTTTTTGAGAGACTATTGTGTATACGTACCACAAGTATTGTACACACGAGAAAAAAGTATCTATCCACACTGTGTAAAACAATATGACACCATAGAAGAAGAATTTTGACAACCCTACCAAGACAACATTCGTCACATGGGTCATTTTGAAATACATGGGACTGGTATACCTTGCTGTGTGTCAGGCATGTGATCTTGAAAAGTGCTGCATTAAGTGAAATAATTTATAGTCATTACATGTTTTCTATATCTGGGAAGTATATGGTCAAACTTTTCTCACAAAAATATTTAATTAAATTTCTAAATTATATTTTAGAAGGGAACTACTAGTATACCAAGTAAGGTACTGTACTACTCATAATTTGAATTATTTTTGTCTGCGCAGTTTAAAATATGGATGGCAGATCTTGTTTGTAAAGAAACACAAAATTAAAGTTCTTGAAATTGGATACAGGTGAAAAATTTTGAAGTTTATTTGAGAAACTTTGGAAGTTTTGCTTACAATAAATACAAAAAACATTTTTATATGGCTATTTTGAGTTTGTAGACCTTTTTTAGTTATATGTATCAGTTCTTTCTCACCAGATTAAATTTTGTGATGCAGTACCGGTAATTATTGGAACTGTGGTAAATAGTCACATTACCTTGAACATTGAAGGTTAGCAGAAACACTAAGCTTCTCTGCTATGTGTACGTAGTTATAAGCGAAGCATTAGTCGTGCATTGTATGTGATATTTTCTTTAACTTGGACTTTCTTCCATTATATATTATGATCTTAAAATATGTTATTTTCTATTACTAATGCAGTGTTCTGTTGGCTTATTTTTAGAGTGTGTACTTGTACCTGATGCAACAGTGCCATTTCTAACTTAATACAATATTGCTTCAACACCAGCAAATAATATAACTCGGCTAGCATCCCTAACAACTGTAGTAAACAAATGTTTTACCTCACATGTGTCAAAGTTTTCAGCTGAAGAAGATGGTTTTGGAAGTACTGTTTGTCTTTATTTTTATAATAATAACAATTGAGTTTGGTAGATTCAGGGTTGTTCCTTGGTGGAGAAACTGATACATTACTTGTGCTCTTAGACTCCTAAAACAATGTAAAAACCTACGGTTTCAGTTATTCAGTAAGGTGTGTTTTGAAGCATTATGTCTTGCCCTTTCTCCTCCTCCTCATTTTCTTATTTTTCTCAGCAGAATGTATTATTGTATTGCTAGCCAGATGATATCTTTCTGGCTGTACAATTAGAACGTTTTTTATAGAAAGTTAAATATCACTGAAATTCCACTGTTGGAGAAGATAAAACACAGAAAAACGAGTCATACAGAGGGAGATATTGGACAATTAAATTTCACAGTACAGCTCCTCCCCAACTTACGACAGGGTTAGGGACCCAAATCCAGGTCGTAAGTCGAAAATGTTCAAATAATACATAGAAAATCTAAAATGGGTGTCTCTGTTTCTTCTCAGCACCACAAAACTCTCATTTTTAAGCTTGCCAGCCATTTTAAAGTAAATTACAAACAAAAATTTTGTCTGTGTACTGACGTTGGGACTCGAAAATACGTTATTTGACAAAATTTTGGTATGTCTGAGGCAGGTTGTAAGTGCGGGTGGTCGTAAGTCGAGTAGGTCGTAAGTCGGGGAGGAGCTGTATATAGAAAAGCCACCCATTCAGGAAGTTGTCTACATTTTTTAGCAACCACTTGGTCCAATGTATAATGGTTGTGGTAAAGTGTAAGTTGGTCAGAGAGGGAGGGACTTACCTGCCAGGTTAACTGAACATAAAAATGCCACAAGATATGTCAAGATAATTCAGCTGTATTTAAACATGTTTGTAAGTTAGGTAATACCATTAACTGGAAGGATTCATCTATAAAGTAAAAATCTAATAGGTTTAGAAGAAAAATCATAGTCTGCTTTGATTGAAAAAATTCCAAATTTCAATATCTCTAGAGGACAATAATTTTGGTCCCCTTACTTAATCACTTCAGTAACTGTTCTCAAGACCTTACCTGCGCTCAAGACCTGACATTTGCTGCATTCAGCTGTCTGGTCACGTCACATATGTCACTTGATGTCCTTATAAAACCTCCCTCCGTAATTGTTCTTGTCACACTGCCAAGGATGAGCATAACTCATGGTTGAAATATCCAGTGCTGTCATTTTGTGTGTTTTAACTTCTCCTACAGTGGGATTTCAGTGTTATGGTTTGTTTGATATTACATATTTTTTTCAATTATAGATAAATATTTTCATTTATTGTAAAGTGTTGTGCAGTACCTCATTGCTCACCTCACAGCTAAATGGGCATCAATAATGGTGTCTTAGGCCAAAACCCAAGGTGGCACACATGGCATAGCAACTGTTGCCTTTTATGTGTAATAAATGCATATGCATATTTGAAAACAATCCTCAGACATAATGCAGTTTGTTAGCAGTATAGTAAAGTAGGTTTCATCCCCTTAAATCCTCCTAGTTAATTATAGAAATACAGCTCCTCCCCGACTTACGACCTACTCGGCTTACGACCACCCGCACTTACGACCTGCCTCAGTCGTAACAAAATTTGGTCAAATTATGTATTTTCGAGTCCCAAAGTCAGTACACAGACAAAATTTTCATCTGCAATTCAATTTAAAATGGCTGGCAAGCTTAAAAGTGAGTGTTTTGTGGTGCTGAGAAGAAAAAGAGACACCCATTTTCGATTTTCTATGTGTTATTTAAGCATTTCCGACTTACGACCATTTCGACTTACGACCGGGATGTCGGTCCCTAAACCCGTCGTAAATCGGGGAGCAGCTGTACTAAGTTGAAGAGGGGATTATGACTAGATAGTAGCAAACATTTTGTTGTACTCAGTACTGACCTTCCCAACTTAGGTAAACATTTCTTGAAATCTTTGTGAATAACAAGGTACCAAGCTGTATGAGCACTACCTGGTTGGGACAAAAGTTTATCAATGTTACTAAAAACAGTTTTACTGCTGTTATTCTTTATCATTGAAGTTGGTGATATAATATTTTTCCTATAAGTCAGGCATATCTTCATTGTGTGTGTCTTTACATTTCAAAGCAGATTAGCACAAGTATGATCATTCTCAAGTACTTTGAGAACAGACACTCTGGTACACTGCTTGTCAGAGGCCAGTGAGCAGTTGTTGATATATTTTGTGACAACAGTATGTTTCACTGTTTTAGGTAGTTGGTGATATACCTGCCATGTGCTTGTATTAAGTAGTGGAGATGTGTAGGATGTGTGTTTAATTATTAAACACATAAGAGAAAAACCAGTCCTATACAACATAAGTAGAAAACAACAAAGAAATATATGGATACGGAAGTGAAATTTACTTATGATTTTTATGCTCATGTAAATGATGTCATGTTATGTTGTGGTAGTCATCGTCATCTGTCAAATAGTAATAGTGGTTTTCATATGTTGACTTAGGTTTTGTGTAACAGATTCTTTTCAACTTTTAGGAAAATGGGGGTTATTGTCTTGTTTTATCTTAAAATTCCCGAGTTATGGGTATATCTTGCTCCCATAGCGAAGCTCATTCTTCTTTAAGGGGAAAATGGGATGACTCTTGGCATAACTGTTTATTGCATGTGCTTAAATCTCCATTATTTTTATCTAGATCTGGACTTTCATTTTTGTATGGGAGTTATCAAGGAGTAGAGAATGCACTAAGAAAGGGGGTGAAATATAAGGATGCAAGACAAGTACAGGAACTAAAACCACTAGTTTGATATTTCATGAAATAAGTGGAAGGCAGTACAGTCATGTACAATATGATACAGTACAGGTTGGCAGATGGCTTAATCTCCGTCACCTGGACACAGATTCTCAGAGGTTCATGTGGTTGTTGTCTCCTCTGACTGGTAATGGGATATTAAAACATAACTAACTTGCTCACTTAAGTAACAAGATTTCATTGAGACTGTTGTACCTATGAGCTTTCTCGTACACCCCAGCTGTAGGCTAGTGTGGTAATATATCTTAAATGTTTGGGAAGGTTTCACATGTGCGAGTCTGCTTTAAATGGAGGAAATGAATGAATGAATGGATTAATGGGAATTCATCTTTTATTCACATATAAATAGTGTAGATGTTCTGTAGCACAGTGGTAAGTACAGGTAAATCTTGACCAAGTACTTTGATTGACCACAGCAGAAAACAGTCTTGTAGTGATAGATGAGTTGATAATGAATATATAAAATGTATTGAAATATAATATTGAATGGTTGGACTCACAGTGACTGAACAGCTGTTATTAAGCAGATTTTTGTGCAGTAAGGAACTAATTTGTAAGCTACATCTGATATCTATCCTTAGTAAAGTGTATAAAGAAAAATGTATGATGTAAAGTATTTTTACAACCAGTTTGTGTATAATGTATGGAAGATACAGGAATTGAAAAGGTTTCGTTTAGATTCGTACCTCAATAAAATATTGCGTATCATTACTAGAACATTAATTCTTGTCAGTGTACAGTACCTGCATTATCAGTATGCTTTATTGTTAATTATTAGTATTATTATAGGACCTTTATGTATACTGTATTACTTATGCTTTCATTTTAGATCTAAGCAGTTATTTTATTAATTATGTCAGCTATTGTAAATAGCTACAATGTAGTAAACTTAATAATGAATTTGTGCTGTGTAAATTGGTAATAATAATAATGATGAGTTATGGTAGTAATAATGTAAGCCTGGGTGAAATATAACTTGTGATAATGAATTGTAATCTGTGCTCTGTTACTGGTCACCTGAGATGTAATTATTTTGCATGTAATGTTAGTGCATGACTACTAATCCTAACATGCAACATATTAACAATTTAAATTTTAATAATAACTGCTAATATCAGATTTGTTTTTGGTTAATATATTTTTCAACTGATATTCAGATTTAATAAACTTAATGTTTATTTATTTAATAAAGTATTGAGTTGTGGTAAAGATTTTATCAGTAGATAATGATAAGCCCTTTAATGTTGTGCATGACAAGTGTAGGCTGTGCAGAATCTTTTCACTTGTTTTAGCATTTTCAAAAGTGAGAATTTCTTGTTGTTACAGACATAATTTTCTTTTAATTAATAACTTCTTATTACAGTTGTCAAGAACAGTAGACTTGTCTCGTAACCCTTACCATGAGCCCAGCTTCAAATTCTACGATCACAGTCTGGTGGATGCACTGGATGCCGGTGATCGTGATTGTGAAGCCTTCTTTCGTCTGCTGGCTCTATGTCACACTGTCATGCCAGAAGAGAAAAACGGTAAGATTTATTGGTTGCTACAACTAAAGTGTGATCACCAGCACATCCGCTAGATAATTTTAAGAGATACTGTATTGTATTGCAAAACATAAAGGGCCTCTGAAAGTAGTGCGATTTAGACCTGGACTGGGCCCTATCACTTTTAGTTGGGGCCCACCATGCCACTGCACCTACACTGGGGTGGAGGGGGGCCCAAGTACCATGACGCAAAGGCCAGTCTCGGTATGGTATTGCTGCCATTAATCTAAGCCTGGCAAGTAAGCTTCTGTCAACAGCACCAAGTTGATAAGTTTACTTTTCCAGAACGTTGATGTCCTCTTCTTGGTGCTCCATCACCCATTGTACTGGTAGTCCTCAGAGTAGTTTTAATCCAAGTTGATGTTAATATTAGGCACATGGTCATAAAATTGCACAATAATGCTCTTTAAATTATTTAGCCAGATGAACTTGTGTGGTAAAAGCTGCCACAATGATTGACTGTCATATGATTTCTGTTGAAACTGATGCAGATGATTCCAAATTTTATTTATGTCCCCAGAATAGTGTGTGTGTGAGGGGCATATAGTAACTGTGTCCGTCTGTCTATAAGAAACTGTTTCCAAAATAGTAACTTGGTAATTGCTTCACAGATCACAGTGAAAACTGGTGAGCAGTTTCACATCATGCGTATCTAGATTAAATTCAGTACATAATTAGTGTTTTCCCTCCTCCTTCACAAATTTTTTCCCCACTCCACCACATATCACGACCTTTATTGCCCGGTGTTATGGCCTCAGTTTTACTGTACTAAAGAAGTTTAACAAATGTCTCAAATTACATCAGTTAGAAATGCATATTTTCTCATTTTTCATTACAAGATCAACTTTTGTATACTGTACTATATATGCAAGTTTAGGATATGAGCAAGTATTTGTGCAGGTACTCATTATATTAGTCTTTCACTTCACTTTCAATACTTGTGTTACATAATTCTCCCCTGCAGTTTCCAACCTATCTTTACGGTTTCCTCTTCCCTTGTGTTAGCGCACACACACACACGCACACACATAGTTGTATCCTTTTTATATATGTGTTAGTGTGTATTAATTAAGTGCAGCATATGTCTGTTAACAATAATTGCTGAAATTCAGTGTTTGGTTCATAAATATCTTTATTTGAATGCAGGGAAACTAGAGTATCAAGCGCAGTCCCCTGATGAAGGCGCCTTAGTCTCTGCCGCAAGAAATTTTGGCTTCGTCTTCAAGTCTCGCACACCAAATAGTATTACTATCTTTGTGAGTACACCTTTGTAGTCCCTCCAGAGATGATGAATGTAAGCAGCAAAGATGATAAGCGAAGGTAGCAAGGAGGCTATGTGTAAATACCAAGAAGGATACAATTAGCCAGGATAATAAGTTGAAGAAGCAAAGATGGTAACTTTAAGTAGTAAGGATGATAAATATAAGTAACAAGATATTAAGTACAGGCATCCTCCGTGTTACGGAAGGGTTGCGTCCCTGGAAAATTGACCGTATCGCAAAATTCCGTAATGCAAAACCTATTTTCCCAATGACTTCCATTATAAAACTGGAGATGCGTTCCTTAGGAATTTTTTTTGGCCCCAAATTCAAGCACTTTTATGAATGAAAATAAACATTTATAAACACATACAATACAGTACATTAAATAATTTATGATATACATGTAATATGAAGAGAAATACAGTTGGAATAAATTAAAATATTGTACTGTACTCACGGATTGTTCCCACTATTGAAGTAGCAAGACCTAATGTTTTTGCAATCTGGCTTAGTTTATTATCCAATGTAATGCCTTTGCGGTTTCTTTTTGCACTACTGCGGTCACTTCTACTTGATGGCCTCTTTCCAGTCATCTTGAATAAGGGTACTGTACTTACTGTATGTTTGTAAAAGTTAAATCCAACTGCTGGGGCGAGAAACATGTGCGCACGCTGGATGCAAGCAATGGAGTGACTCCGCGTGGCGATGCCACGCTTGGTGGTAGCAAACACCAAGAAATCCACACCAAACAAATTACAATTTTTAACAAAATATTTTAATTTTATATAATGATTTTTTATTTTTATTTTTTTTTAAGTTGTTAAAATTTACCCCAATTTCCGTAAGGGCGGAGTTACGGGCCGTATCGCGAAATTATTGGTCATAATTTACAAATAACGTAAGAGCGAAATTCCGCAACCCGGGGTTCCGTAACGCGGGGGATGCCTGTATAAGTATTAAGGATGACAGTGGTAGCAACCATTTTCCATTCATTATGTAATTTGATGAAGCAAGTGCATGAAGTAGAATAAAGAGGACTTGTCTGACAGAAAATAGAAATAAAGATACAGTAAATAAAAAAACAGTATAATACAGGGTAGCTGTAATAAGGTCTTACTTGCCATTAAGTCCTTACCTCCAGTGTTTTGTCGTCCTTCACCCACTGAGTGTTAAGATCCCTGTGTCCAATAATATTAAGGATTAAGCAGTATTGTGTATGATAACTTATATTCACAGTTTCAATTCCTTTAATGAATACTGTTCTACCTTGAGAAGTATACTCTGAGATTCAATAATATACAGAGGGATTCACTCGCTGGTAGCCCCAGAGTTTCACTGACATAAACATCATTCATGAGTTATTAAACAAGAGAGAGAGAGAGAGAGAGAGAGAAATACTTGATAATATAACATCAAAAACTTTTCTGTAAATAAACGAAACATTAATACAGGTGTATCAAAGAAAACATGTATTACTATTATACAGTACAGTGAACCCTCGCTTTACGTGGTCAATTGAACCCACGGAGGCCTGCGTAAAGTGAACAACATAACACATGGGATTAATTGAAATAGAGAACAGGCCGACCCCCAAACTCCACTTTTTCCCGACACAATACCTATGTTCTAGTAAAAATAACATCTTAATTTTATAATGGTACAGTCAGTTCTGGTATAACGCGATAGTTGTGTTCTTGTAAAACATCGTGTTATAGAAATTCGCGTAATAGAAATAACAGGGCTTATGGAGAAAATAGGGTTAGGTGCAGATTACTACTCGAATTCGAAAAAAAATTTAGTAGTTAGCCTAACACAAAGGATAGCACAGTCTAAATAAATGTTACATTCATATCTAATAATGAAATCATAATGTAAATGTAACACTTTACCTTGAAAAATATGAATATAACTTGATGGGGGAGAAAGGTGATATTGAGGTTGATAATATCGAGCTTCTCTTCAAGGGTTATAGCCTTTCTTTTACGATCATCACCGGGAATGCGATCACCAGAACGCTTCTTGGAGATATTCTTCTTTACCATATTCACAGTTAATACCACAAAATTGGAGAAATAGTTAGCAAAAATCGCGTTACAGCAAACAAGCGTTCGCGTTATACAAACATCGTTCCTCTATTCATAAATCGCGTTAGAGCCAATTCGCGTTGTCAAAACACACGTTATAGCAGAACTCACTGTACGCACACACAATTAACATTTAAGAGAAATAGAGAAATACAGTCACCAAGTTAATGTCCATTCAAATAATGGACTCAACTCCCCCCCCCTCTTCTCACACTCACTCCCTGGCTCTTCCCTCTCTGAGAAATGTTTGGGGGAAAACACTAGATTTTAAGGTATAGTAATAAATAATACCTCAAACTAAAGTTAGGATAATATAATTGACATTGCTGGATTCCTTGCAAGACCAGGAATATTTTGAATATACATGTCATATATTTTGCACAAAAGATAACATATTTGCTCTGAGTAAACAAAATACTTACATTAGATCTAAAATTTGTATGTTTAATGCAAATTTTATATTGTTTATATTCAAAATGAACATCGAATTGTAAGAATTCCAGCAATGTAAATTATATTCTGGCCGGGTAATTTGTATGAATTTTATGAGCTAAAACAAATATCTTCAATAAATACAAAAAAATATACTTCACCCAAACACTATCTGTCAATCAAAATACCCCACCTCCAGCTCCCCCCCTCTTCCCACAATTGCTGGGTCCATCCCTCCCTCCCTACCAGAGAAATGTTTGGGAGAAAACAGTATATTTACATTTTTAGTAATAAATAATACCCGAGACTAAAGTTAGGATAATATAATTGACATTGCTGGATTCCTTGCAAGACCAGGAATATTTTTAATATACACGTCATATATTTTGCATAGAAGATAACATATTTGCTCTGAGTAAACAAAATACTTACATTAGATCTAAAATTTGTATGTCTAATGCAAAATCTATGATGTTTATATTCAAAATGATCATCAAATTTTAAGAATTCCAGCAATGTAAATTATATTCTGGCCGGTGTAATTTGTATGAATTTTATGAGCTAAATAAAAAAATTATACTTCACCCGCGTATATGAGTAGATGCACCGCATAAAGTGGGAATTCCGGTTCTGCGTAAATGTAGAAACGCGTAAAAAAACCCCGCGTAAAGTGGGGTATTACTGTATTGTACACTCGGTAAAAGAACTACCGTAAAGGTGGGGTCCGATGATTTTCCAACTGAACATTCCCGTTGTCTCGCGGGGATTGGTAGGCCTGAATGTGAGACAAATTTTACTTAATTTGGTAGGCTAAAATTAGCTATTCCATTGACAATATTGAATTACTTTGTTACAATATGACTGGAGAATGTCAGTTTATCTAGATAAGTTAAACTGTATGTTATATTAAACGTTCCACACACCATGGAAGTGGATTAGTTGCCATATAGGAATGCATTATATGTTTAGCAGAATTAGTGGATATAGTAAAGGTATAAGATTATTTTGCAACCGAATTTGGGCTAACGCCACATTGTGTCATTCTTTATTCGTATTGGAAAATATACCATGCTGTTCTGAAACATATGAATAGCTCCACAGTTCATATAGCATACACATTCTTTATGTAAGATATCAAGAAATGTTGGTAGCACTAATTACGTAAATCACAATATTAGGCTGCTACAACACCGCTCACAATGTGTATTAGACATGGAGAATGAGGCATAGAGTTTCGATCAAGTTTCAAATTGCGTTAGTGTGGCAGCACTAACTCTGACTCGTTTCAGAGTGCCGATCACTTGTTTCGAGCACGTGTGGCCGAACCCATACACGCGCAGGGCTACCAATGCGAGGAATGCCTCAGGGGCCTTTTTGAAACACTTTGTTTGTAGTGTCAGTTTGTTTCGCGCAGGAATTGTAACGGTAGTTTTTTACCGAATGTATGTGCAAGAAAATTTTCTTATTAAATTTTACTATACTGTACTGTGCAAACTGTTATAAAATGTTCATCTATTTTTCAGGCTAAGGAGGTTCAAGAAACTTATGAATTGTTGTGCATTCTGGACTTTAATAATGTTCGGAAAAGAATGTCGGTCATCCTTAAAAAAGACGGTAGGATCCGTCTCTACTGTAAAGGTGCCGATTCTATTATCTACGAGAGATTAAAAAGTGGGCAGGAGAGTTTAAAACACCATACTCAGGAACACTTAGATGTAAGTTGCATGGTTGTCATTTGCTGAAGGGTCATTTATGGGCTTCCAAGATGGTAGGAAACTGTTTTTAAGTTAATCTTTAAAGACCTCAAGGGTTTGTTGTTCACAAATAATTTTTTGTCTCCTGTATATGCAGTACTGTTAATTATAAATGTATCCTATACACACAAAGGTTAAAAAACAGAATCATACCACCACCAATAAAACCCCCAAATTACCCCTTTAATAATAATATATAAGACTATTTTTAGAGTTAGATACTGTAATGCATCACACACTCATAATACCCTTCTTTCCTTCCTCCTCACTTTTAATTGTTACTTTATATCTCTAATACTTATTTAAAAAAAAACCAGTTACAATACCGTACAATATCTTTGAAAAAAACAAAAAAAAAAACAATATAATTTGTTTCCATTCACTAGTCACATTTAGACACTTCTGTGTCTTAACTGAGCATCACACTTCAGGACATCCCAGCACCATAATGCAGTATCATAATATATATAGATCAATAACTTTATCTGTGAGATAAGAAAAGAGCTGGGAAAAAAGGGCTTACCAGTCCAGAAAGGTGAATGAAATACGAAAGTTGGGAGTTACTCAATGGGTTGGAAGGATCAAGATAGAATGTTTATGAAGTAATTGTAGGAGACCTTCATCCAGCAGTGGACTTATTCAGGATGATGATTATTAAACCATAATAATTATGTTACAGAGTTTTGCTGGAGAGGGTCTACGAACTTTGTGCCTTGCATACAAGGATTTAGAGGAGGATTACTTCCAGGTGTGTAACATTTTGTGAATTTTATGTTTGTGCCAAAACATCTTATTTCATACCCAAGAGATTAATGTTAAACTTTTGTATGATAACTAAAAAATTAATATAGAAATATTATATTAGTACCAAAGATATGAACTTTAATTGTATGAATAAGGATTATCAATGTATTTCATGAACTCTCATACAGGATTGGAAGAGCCGTCACCATGAGGCTGCAATATCTTTAGAGTCAAGAGAAGAAAAGCTGGATGCTATATATGAAGAAGTAGAGAAAGATCTTATACTTTTAGGTAAGTTAGTTTTAAGAAAATTTACAAATTTAACCCTATTGCTCCTTCGCTTGATTAAAAAACACTCTTTAGTTCCTCTTTAATAAGTACTAAATCCCTTAAAATTTATCCAACCCTAAAACCTCCTCAAACCATCCTGCTCATCTCCACCATAATGCCAACCCCTCTCACCACCTCCACCATAATACCAACCCCTCTCACCACCTCCACCATAATGCCAACCCCTCTCACCACCTCCACCATAATGCCAACCCCTCTCACCACCTCCACCATAATGCCAACCCCTCTCACCACCTCCATCATAATGCCAACCCCTCTCACCACCTCCACCATAATGCCAACCCCTGTCACCACCTCCACTGTACTCTCAACCTCCCTTCCCTCCTCCACCATAATGCCAACCTCTCCTTCAGTACCTGACAACACTAACACCTTGACTGTTGGCAAAGTGGTTCAACCATGGGAAAACGAATTACTGTATATTGGAATATGACCATTAAAATACATGGTTACTACATGAGAACAAAATAAATTATGGAGAGAGTAAGTCAAAGATCAAGTTCAGGTGTGTGTGTGTGTGTGTGTGTGTGTGTGTGTGTGTGATAGATAGATAGATAGATAGATAGATAGATAGATATATTTGGGAAAACTGATACTTTATTGAGAAGAGTAAATGAGAGGTTGGGATTAGAATTCAAGGTAAAGGTTATATTAAGTTTGGTGGTTTATGCCTTATTAACCACTATCATAGTTATATGTTTTCTTCAGATTCATATACTGTGTACAGTACTGTATTAATAAACAAATAATTTAGCAAATATCACCTATTTCAATCCTTTCCTTGTCTACTTAAGCTTCATCTGTTATTTTCCTCTTTAGGAGCAACTGCCATTGAAGATAAGCTTCAAGATGGTGTACCACAAACTATAGCCAACTTGGCCATGGCCGGCATCAAGATTTGGGTACTCACTGGTGATAAACAAGAAACAGCCATTAACATTGGATATTCATGTCAGGTAACACAGCTTCCTTATGTTATCAACTTAATGCAGTTGATGTTAACTATTTCAATTAAATTGTACTCTAAATACAATCACCCAAAAAGTATGTTTCTTAGGTAAAATTATATTGTATAAAGTGTTTATGAATACATATGTTAAATTACTGCACTTTCCCCCAAATAGTTCTTCCAGCAGTTTGCATATTAGTAATTTAAATTCTTTGTAGTGTCCATAATGTACTTCTGCTATTAAGGCAGTCATGCAAATTGGGATAGAGCCAGTTAAGTGAGGTGAGAGTGAACATCAGGCTTGGTAAACAAAACTCGGTGTATCATTGGGTAGGCAGTGTTTGGGATACAAAGCACTTTTCCTTGGAGGTCTCTTGAGAGAAACTATCTGTTATCTTCCCCCTCTTTATATGGTGTAGTCAGGGCCGGATTCAGGAGTGGGCAAACTGGGCAGCTGCCCAGGGGCCTCCACAATCTGGGGGCCTCCACATATTACAATATTTTATTTACTTGTTTATTCATTTGGATTATTTTTATTTTCATTCTTTAAAATTCATGTTTATCTATTCCATCACGTAAAACTATGTTCAGCAAGAAGCGTGATAGAAATTAGGCTAGCTACTACTTGAATGAATACCTGGTTTTCCTATGAACCGTATATTTTTAATGAATGCTATTGTTTGTGTTGCTAATAATATATTTAGAATTCCACAAACATATATATTGATTAAAAAGGAACTACCGTATATACTCGTGTATAGTTCGAGTTTTTAAGACCAAATTTTTAGGCAAAAAATTGGGGGTCGTCCTATACATGAGTAATAGTTTTGTTAGGTTGAACCCGTGCATGATGGGAAGGGCGAGGAGCAACTTTTAGCTTCAGACATGAAAAATATTTACCATTTACTGCCAGTAAACAATGGAAACGTAAAATATGTACCAATTAGTAATGAAAAGTTGTGCAGTTCCTTCAGCAAATGAAGCTCACCAACTTACAATAGGCTAAATTACCTTACAACGTGCTTTCAGTAGTCTATGTTGAAGTTCTTAGCACAGGCTAACTTATCATATCATATACGGTATCACAGTTCTCATTGATCTACAAAAAATACCGGTAATAAAAACCTTTTCGATATTTCATACTTAATATAATACCCGGTAATCTACTTCAACCTCCTATTGTTTACAACGACGCATCACGCACCACCAATTGTATCAGCTAGACGGTACACGTGTTTTTCGAATCGTTTTCAGTTAAAAAACTGTTACATCACATGTATATTTTACCTTAACTGTGCCTGAATGAATATATTCTCGGAAATCAATACAGTGGGGTATGCTATAACGAATCTAATTGGTTCTAGAACCTTGTTCGTTATAGCATTCGTTCGTTATAGGATTAATCCGTTCCAGGCCCCCAAATACAACCACTTAACACTGAAAAATATAATATAAAATTGTAAAAATTGTAAAAAAGTGCATAAATATGCATCTAAACCCCTGAAATAAAGAATATCATTTAATATTTGTAATAAAAAAACAATAAATTAGAAAAAAAAAAATTAAATAATGTTTGTTGTAGGAGTTTAGTTCGTTATAGCATTCTCAATTTTATAGGTAAAACCGTTCGTTATAGGAATATTCGTAGTAGGATCCGTTCGTTATAGCATACCCCACTGTAGTAGTTTTGCTGAAACGTGATATATTTTAATGTAAAATAGGATAAAATACATGACGAAAACAAAAGATTTTACCTAACCTTCCAATGTTCAAGAGAAGTTACCGGGGTACTCGTTTTTTTAATAGTTTTTTGTTAAAATATTGTTATATTACAATGGTATTCTATTCATACTGTGCTTGATATAATGCATTCACGGAAATGTAATATTTTTGCTGAAATGACGTACGTATTACAGTGGAAAGTGGGATAAAATCGTGAGGAAAACAATGACTTTCGCTTTCTTTCGTTCAAAAGATGTTACCGTAATCGCTTTTCGAATGGTTTTCAGTTAAAAAATTGTTGTATTACGATAATATTCTATTCTAATTGACTTGAATAAATACTACGATACCATATTTGTGAATATTTTCATTAAAATCCATCAAAATAATTTTCCTTGTCATCGTCTGCAGCACCAAACAGCTTCTCCCAGTCCTCTCCTTGAACAGGGCTAGAGGATACGTGTTTTTTTTAATCGTTTTCAGTTAAAAAACTATTACATCACGTATATTTTACCAAAACTGCGTCTGAATGAATATATTCTCGGAAATATATAGTAGTTTTGCTGAAACGTGATGTATTTCAATGTAAAATAGGATAAAATACATGACGAAAACAAAACACTTTACCTAAGCTTCTGTTCTTGAGATGTTACTCGTTTTTTAATAGTTTTCGGTTAAAATTCTGTTATATTACAATGATATTCTATTCGTACTGTGCTTGATATAATACATTCACGGAAATTACGTACGCATTACAGTGGAAAGTGGGATAAAATCGTGAAGACAACAATGACTTTCGCTTTCTTTCGTTCAAAAGATGTTACCGTAATCGCTTTTCGAATGGTTTAGTTAAAAACTGTTGTATTACAGTAATATTCCCTCCTAATTGACTTGAATAAATACTTGAATGGAAACATACAATATTTTTGTTGAAACTACCCGCGTTTCAGTGTAAAGTGTCGTAATAATAAATGGTAAACAATTTGCCTTCGGCACTCGTGTTTCAGGCACGGCGAGCCTCAGTTTATAGGACGTAGAGCGTTTTTAGTGAAGGTTTTGTTGTTCCATTACCCTAAAAAATGTGGGTTGAACTATAAACGAGGAATATCGTAAATTAACTATTTCTTGGTCAAAAATTCAGGGTCGACCTATAAACGAGGGGGGGTTATAGACGAGTATATACGGTACATGGAATAACGAAATTGAGATTAAAAAAAACAAATAAAATATTGTTTTCATTATCACTTCCATTACGAATGCCATCAGTGCGCTGCGTTCTAATTTCCTCAATATAACTGCATATGGCTTCAAAATTCTCCAAAGAAGTGTTCAAATTTCAAAATTTTCCCGGGGGGATTACAGCACCCCCCGGAACTCCCAGATGTTTAGGCTTGCTTCACTCGCCACCCCACCCTCTTGGGTAGTTATAATGAGGGGGGCCTGCTCAAAGAGGCTGCCCATGGGCCTCCACAGGTCTAAATCCGGCACTGGGTGTAGTTGAAGGGAAAGAAAATTGAGAAACAAAGGAAATAGCAGGTAAGAGGGCAAGTGCAGAGAGTCACAAGAAAGTGTTGAAACTGGTAGAAACATTGCAAACACAAACTGATGTATATCTTCACTTCACTTACACAGTGAATTCTTTACCTCCACATTAAAGCATAATTTTGGATAGATATATGGATTTTTTTTTAACTTTCAGTACACATTCAATCTTACATCCAGAAGTGAACACAGATAAAATAACTAAAGAAATACCAATATTTATCATAAGTTATAAAGTATTTTTAATTTGTAATTTCAGGTAGATATACTGTGTATAATTATATTTTTTTACTCAATTACATACAGAAAGTGCAAAAATCAATTAAATAAATAATTATCATAAGGAATAAAGTTTTAAGTATCTACAGGCTTTTACCATGAAACTTATGTACACTGTAGCAAGTTTGTGGGGGTTGGAGGGTCCTTGGCAAAGCACCGTTACTAGGAACACTGCTGTATTGCTAAGGCAAGCACCAAGAGTTACTGCGATGCAGTTTGAACACTAACTTGTGTAATTTTTGCTCTCTTTATGCTTTCATTAAAGCTATTTATATGTTTATGTTATTGATGTTTATATGCCTTCACTTTTAAGTTTTAATGTTACAGTGTACAGTTAAAGCTACTTTTAGGGATGAATCTAGAGATCTGAACTGAATCTTGACAGGCAGCTACAGAAAGTTTACTGCATATTTTAAGCTGGGTGCTCCGGATTTGGGGGGGGGGGGTTATCCGGTAACCTCCAGGTCCCAAGCATGCTGAATAAATGTTCCCATACCTGTATAGTAATTGTATATACATTTTGTGTACTATGTGTGCTCATTGATTACCTATGGAAGGGTCACTTCTGGCTTACTGATAGCCTTCAGGAACAGAACCCATTTGTAACCTGGGGAGTGTCTACTGTACTTGTAATATATTTTGTTACATGACATTTCTTGGTCTTATTATTATTTATTTATTTATTTTTATTTTTTTATTTATTATTTTTTTTTTTACAGTTGCTGACTGATGAAATGGTGAATATATTCATCATTGATGCTCAAAGTGCCTCGGAAGTTGAAGAGCAGTTGCAAAAATTTCGTGAAGATATCAGGAATGTGTCAGCCACCATTCATCCACAAACCAACCTATCTGTGGTGACCTTTAGGTAGTGTCTAATATATCATTTGTTTGGTGGGTGTTGTCTGTGATAAAAACCTGTTATTCATAAATGGTTCTTAGCTTCATGTAAAAGGGGACTGACTACTCTGTACCACTATTACATACATGTGCTTCAACATAATTCTAATCTCAGAAAGTCTTTGCTTGCATTGACTCTAAGACATTATTAGAACTTTGCTGCAGACAGTTAAAAATTTGATAAAGATTAGATATTTTTATCATAGATGGTTGAGTATAAGGTAATGGGCCTTGTAGAGAATCCCTAACTACATTCTGATAACTGGTTTATATATAATGCATGTATGTTAGTCTGCTTAAGTTAGAATTTGCTTCACTATATTATTATGTATGGTTGTGTTCCTCCATCCCAAATTTATAGCTGGAAAATACATGTACTGGTTTACTGAAGACAAGATATAAAGGTGGTATTTTAAAATTTCCTTTCTTGAAAAGTACACATTTTCTTTAATGAACAAACCAAAATTATTAATATATTTTAAACATGCACACTTGTATTGTTACTTCTACGCTCAATGAAAATATAATACCTCAAGATTTGACAGAAGTGTAAGGTATTTTCCCCTGAGAACTGTTTGTTACTGTACAGTGAGAAGATTACTGTATTGGTATAATATAAGTCAAGTAAATTTTGAAGAATGGGAAACATAAACAGTTTACCATTAAGGCTTAACTACAGTACCAGTCTCAGTACAAAGTGAGAAATCTAAACCCCTTGAATACAGTGACTTAACTAGTTAATTAGTGATTTAACCCCTTAGGCACAATGATTTGACTCTTCAAGTGTATTTAACTGATTATAATGATTTAGCCCCATGAGTATAATGATTTAACTCCTTAAGTATCGTGATTTAACCCTTTGAGTACAAGAACTTAGTTCCCTATATATTTAGTGATTTAACCCTTTGAGTACAATGATGTAACCCCTTAAGTATAGTGATTTAACCTTTTGAGTACAGTGAATTAAACCTTTATGTATAGTGATTTAACCACTGGTAGTTCCCTTTAGTACAGTGACATCATGCTCATCACCATTTAGGTAATTTAATTTGAATTTCAGGTTTATTTCTTGTGTGAGTTGTATGTCACCAATCTGTGTGTTATATTGCACAACCAGGCATCTTTCTCAACCTCATTCCTTAGTTATATACCTGAAGATGATATGCACATTTTTGGAGAGACTACAACAGCACTCCTCTACCACTTTAATGCCACTTAATTATTGTATATTGTATTATATTTTCAGCATGTGTATTGTGTGTGTTTCTGTCACATGTACAGTACTCTACCTCACTCTGTCACCACTAGTAGTTAACTGTATCTTTTGTGTCACCTCATGTCTCTCTCTCTGTATTTCACACACCTCATGCTTGTATTATGAATGCCACTGTGTACTGTACATACATAAACTGCAACACAGCAGGAGAAATATGATACGATAATGAATCAGATTTTTTCCTTCAGCATAATACAGTGAACCCTCGCTTTACGCGGTTTCACTTTACGCGTTTCTACATTTACGCGGTACCCTGCCAGAACCGGAATTCCCACTTTACGCGGTGCATCTACTCATATACGCTGGTGAAGTATAATTTTTTTATTGAGCTCATAAAATTCATACAAATTATCCGGCCAGAATATAATTTACATTGCTGGAATTCTTAGAATTTGATGATCATTTTGAATATAAGCATCATAGATTTTGCATTAGACATACAAATTTTAGATCTAATGCAAGTATTTTGTTTACTCAGAGCAAATATGTTATCTTTTGTGCAAAATATATGATGTGTATATTCAAAATATTCCTGGTCTTGCAAGGAATCCAGTAATGTCAATTATATTATCCTAACTTTAGTTTGAGGTATTATTTATTACTATACTTTAAAATTTAGTGGTTTTCCCCCAAACATTTCTCAGAGAGGGAAGAGCCAGCGAGTGTGAGAAGAGGGGGAGGGAGTTGAGTCCATTATTTGAATGGACATTAACTTGGCGACTGTATTTCTCTATTTCTCTTAATTATTAATTGTGTGCATGTACCATCATAAAATTAAGATGTTATTTTTACTAGAACATAGGTATTGTGTCGGAAAAAGTGGAGTTTGGGGGTCAGCTGGTCTCTATTTCATTTAATCCCATATGTTATGTTGTTCACTTTACGCGTTTCTCGCTTTACGCGGGCCTCCGTGGGTTCAATTGACCGCGTAAAGTGAGGGTTCACTGTACATGAGTTTTGTGTTATAAGAAACATTTAGATATTAATAGACATGTAGTGAAAGTTTTCTATTGGATTGCTCTTGTAATGTGTGTCCATGAGATCTTTATTAGTTTGAGGTGTTTGTAATATCAGTTTAAGCAGGTTAGGGAGTTTGGTAGTTCAACGTATGAATTTTGAATAAATACTTTGAAAGCATGTAAGTTATTCAGGTAGTGACTGTTGGTTAAGTACAGCGGACATTTTTCCCCTCATCAAAGGAATATTTTGTCTTTCTACACGGGATCATCAATGTTCCTATCACACACTAGTACAAATTATCTATCTTTGCTGTTATCAGCTTCACACTGTATTGATTGAACACTATTTACTCCTTTTCAATCCATCATAAAAATTTTCTATCCTGAGTAAGTCTCCCCAAAATTGTGTGCCATCAGGTATAGAAGATGCCTTGTTGTGCTGATTATCTCACTGCTGTGTACATTGTTAGTGTTTACAGCGATGACGATGCTGGACGTGATAACCTGAGCGATGCAGGTGAACCAAACGGAGGCTTCGCTCTCGTCATCAACGGACACTCTCTCGTGTTCGCTCTAAATGCCAATTATGAGAGACTGTTCTTAGAGGTTGCGAGTCACTGTAAGTGTCAACTCCTGTATTTTGTTTTCAGGAGTGAATCTTGCACTTTAAAGCATGTGAAAGGAATCTGTCACTCTTTTTTGTCATGTTCACAGCTGCACTGTATGTACAAGACAATAACACACTTAAGCAGTAGCTACCAATACTTGTTGTGGGTGTGTGCAGTAACTACCAGTGCTTGCTGTGTGTGCATGTGGGTGTGTGTGCATGCATGCATGCAGTAACCACCAGTACTTGCTGCATGCGTGTGTGTGCGTGTGTGCAGTAATCACCAGTACTTGCTGTGTGTGCACAGTAACCACTAGTACTTGCTGTACACATGCCCAGTAACCTCCACCTTGTCTCCTACTTTCCTCTTCTCATAATTGTTGTCACTGCCAGTAGCAGCCATCACTCATACACCACACTGGTAAGACAGTAAGCCATCCCTCTTCTATGTTTTGTACATGTTCTACAGTGATAAACACTACTATTTCCAGAAAGAGAAGGAAGACAAAGAAAGGATAAAATAAATTGTTTTTGATTGGATTTTGCAAATTATGTACTCTAGAAAATTTTGGAAGCAAACAAAATTTCAGTCCCTGACTTTTACACCAATTGAGCTCTTGACTATAAAAATTTATATTAATAGACCTTGATCTGTGCATTGAAAATGGAATGTCACACTCATCATCAACATTTTATGGCCACTTTCCATGCTTGTGTGGTTTAATCACAATTATACCTGATGGCAGCTCTTCATGCTGCATGGTCTCTTGCAGCCTTTCATGTCTGGTTCTTACATCTTTTCCTTATGTCATTCTGGCCCCCTCACTCTCCTTCCTTCCACATTTAGACTCATGCATCTTTTGACCCAGTTGGTCTTATCCATTCTCTCCACATGCCCAAACTATCTCATCCTACTTCTTCATAAAAATTCACCAATACTCTCAATACCTAGTGGTCCATCCATCTCATCATTCTCATTTCAGTTCGGTCAAGCCTGCATATATTTTCCTCTTTAACTGCTCATGTTTCCTGCCATACAACATCACACTTCTCATGCCAGCCACATATATCTTCCATTTTATGTGGAGGGAAGTGTTCTCTTGTCATTAGTAAAGGCAGCAATTCCCTAAAATTCCTCCAGCCACTTCTGGTTCTTGTACCTGTCACCCAGATAATAAAACTCATCAACTCAGTCTAGGGACACATTGCCAATGTTGAGTTTCTCCAGCCTTGCTAAAGCCACATGGTTACCTGTACACATAGAACACTTTAAAGTTAGCAACATCCAGCAGTCTACCATCTACTCCACTGCATCTTGTATGTACCCACCATCCACACTCACTACATATTATTGAGTTGCTACCAACATCTTTCACAGCAGACAGCTCATGGCCATTTTCCACTCTCCACCACAGGCCCCTCACCCACACCGCAAATAAGTAATTTTGTCATTGTCACATTCTCTCTTAAGCTCTGTGACTATTTCTCTTTTTCATTTCATAAATTGCTCTGTTGCCTCTTCAGTACTATTTCCTACCAGCACAAATTCATCAGCATACACCAGCTCCCAGGGCAGACCAGTCCTGAAGTCCCCTGATATTGCCTCCAGCACCATGATAAATATTTACAAGATTATATATGTCCTTATATACTATATATGGTTCTAAAATCACTATTGTACATGATTTAGGTAAGGCAGTTATCTGCTGTCGGGTCACACCACTACAGAAGGCCATGGTGGTGGACTTAGTGAAGCGCTACAAGAAGGCTGTAACACTGGCTGTTGGGGATGGTGCTAATGATGTGTCCATGATTAAAAGTAAGTGTTGAGTTTTATCTTTAATATTTATATTGTCTGTACTTGAAAAAGAAATATGATTACATGATGCATGTGTGTCCAACATCATCTAGGGGAGTCTGTCTGTCTGTCTGTGTGCCTGTAGATACAATTTTACAAACACAGATAGTCAATATTACATTTAGTTTTGATGTACTGTACTGTAATTAATTGGAGGGTTTTCTAGTTAAGTTTCAGAAAGCCTTACATGTACTAGTAAGTGACTTCAATAACTTTTCTAGTTGCCAAAATATTGGTAATATCCTTGTCAAGTTGGAACATAACTATATTTTGCTTAGTTGGGTTAATGATCCTCTAACTAATTCAGCTGCAGCCTTTACTCTGCACTAATGATCTCTGTCTTAACCCTAATGAGTGTCTACATCCCCATTATGCACAGTATAGTACATAGATTAAAGACTCTGGCAAAGTGATAGGTAGAAGTACAAGCATATTTACTGTAGAAGACTGTCATAGAGAAACTTCGACTGTCATAGAGAAAACCTTTGGAATTAGAGGTTACTTTAGTTTGCCCCACTATCACACAAACAGTGAGGGCTGTCTGCTTAAGAATACAATTTGATTTAAGACATAAGAGACTGTTTTATCTGACATAAACAGCCTCACGTATAATAAAAATATCCTCCCACCTAATATCAACATGCCAGTAACATCATGTGCATGTATGTTATACAACACTGAGTCGCCAATGTTATATTCATACAGTTTTACACTCGCACACAAAACAACTCACAGTTTACACAATACTTAATCATCTGTCTTATTATTTGAATATTTGTATGTTCTTTTTTCTTGCTGTTGTCTTAATTGATATAATTTGTTTACTTGCATTTTCCATTACAGCTGCACATATTGGTGTTGGGATCTCTGGTCAAGAAGGTTTACAGGCAGTACTGGCATCAGATTATTCTGTGGCTCAGTTCAAGTTCCTAGAGCGACTCCTACTAGTACACGGCCGCTGGTCGTACTACCGCATGTGCAAGTTCCTCAGATATTTCTTCTACAAGAATTTTGCATTTACGTTATGTCACTTTTGGTTTGCCTTCTTTGTGGCATTCTCAGCTCAGGTAAAGTTATTTAGAAGCATATTTTTAAAAGTGTGAATGTTTGTGAGTCCTTAGTAGAGTACTGAGTGTTGGAGAGGTATGTTTGACCAGTAATATCTGAGAGCACATGGCTGTGTGAATTAGTAATGATCAGTTTATAGTGAGCACATGAGTTGTTTGCTGCTGGAAATATTTGGCCAGAATATATACATGTATTTCAAGAAAACAGAGAAAATCAGTTTTATGAGAAGAGGTCAAGGTAATTGTAAGTATGTCAGCCAGCTCTCTGAATGTCAATCCTGAATGACTGACAGACTTGTTAACTGAGAGAACTTTTTAATGAGCTTGTGCATACCATCATATTACCAACTCTTGTTTAGATAGATATTGAACACTAGGGTGATGTGATACTGATGATGTACACCCATCAAAAAAAAAAAATACATAGACTCACATTTATCTGTTGGGTTGGTACCTCTAGTTTTACCAACCTACCAGTAATATCCTTTATCATGAAATGTTCTGTGATTTAAACTACTAATCAAAGGTCAAGTTCTCTGTAGTACTGTAATGATGAATAATTAAGGTGTTATTTGTGGCATACAGTTGATGATTGTTTGAGACCTGAACAGATCAGTTGCCACCTCCCAAATAATAAGTATTTATGGGAGAAACCCAACATATAGCAAATGGTAGATTGATTAATTCAGAGATTTGGGGAATTTCTCCTCGACCCTTTAGTTATGTCAATTTAATTCAAAGCCTTATCTGTATGGATCTCTTTGGATAGCCATGCATATACAGTACAGTACTCCTTTAGTTTGAGGATTTTGAAGTATGAATGATGGTCTCAATTCATGGGATTTGATATGGATTCAACTCCTTTATTACACAGTTAAAACAGAAATGGCAGACAGTATTAGTGTTGTGGTCAATTCATTCTCCAACAATCATCGTAACAAAATGGAAGGCAGACACAAACAAAACATCCAAGAAAATCCACTAAATGACTTGTCCTCTTAACATAAGGAAGTAACTGGTAAGAAGAGCAGGCATACCATCACATCATCATGCCCAGGGTGTATACAGTACATAAAAAAACCTCATCCTGTGTTCAAGAATTTAAAGTATGACAAGGATTGTGATATATTTTTATGGCCTTAACCCCAGTGATTGCAGATGTGCCATATTATGGCTCATCTGCTACTGGCAGTTGACTGTGGATGTGCCATATATGGGAGATTCTCTAATTCTGTATATGCTTAAAAGAGTGTCACTAAGAGTACGCTTGAAATTCAGACCATCCATAGTTAATGTGTTAAGACTAACTGAAAATTAGTAGAGTATTTAAGAAAGTTTAGTAGGGATAACTGCTCAAGATTAAAAGTCTCCTTAAAGGAGTGATGTAGAAAGATGGTTGCAGGTTGACCTAACTATTAGGACTGAAGTTCATTTGAACTCTTTCCAATTACGTGTGGAGTCGGGTAGGACTGAGCTCCTCTACTCCTAACGATTTAATGAAATTCAGATAGTTTCTGTTTAAACTTAGAGGCATTTGAAAAATTATGTAACATGAGGTAAGGACAAGAGTGTGCACTAAGGTGAGACTTTTCAGGAACCACCCTTGTATATAGTGACAAAGTTTGATCAGTGTTGTCTTTCTTTAGTTAGATGGTAATGTATTTTATTTATTTTTGTTCAATCATTGTCACTTTTAACAAGTAATCTGTAATGAATGCCTAATTTAATTATTATTTTATAGGTTTTCAGGCTTGTAATTGGAGTTTTGAACCTTGTAATTGACATCCACAAAGACTGAGTTTAAGATTTTGCCTCTCTGCAGCCCTGTGTATTTTGTAGTCTTAAGAGATCATGTCAGGATTTAAATTGGGACAATGCTGGTTTTGGAACTTTTTTGTGTGTACAGATATTTATAGTGTGTCTATGGGCCTACAGTTTAGTGTAATACTAACTTGAACTTCTGAACTTAAACATGAAAAAATTTAAGGTGTGTTAATATATACAGGATGGTCCATGTAATTGGAACCATAATCAGTATTAGAAACTAAAAAGCAGATATATATTAATTCATAGTACAGTATCTGTACAGTATACAGTTATACACAGTATGTTTGCCAGTTTTATCGGTGCTTATTTGTAGTTGCTTATCCTTTGCTGGTGGGATCTAATATGTCTGCAGTAATTTTCTAACAAACTTCAGCAATTTTATTTTCAAATTACATTTTAGCAGATGCCTTACAGTATAACATCTATGAATAACCAGGTTATGAAAGTGCATTGACAAAAATGGCTAATACTGTATGTTGAACATTTTAATAAATGTAATTAGGTTTCTCAGTTTCTATAACAGGTAACCCACTATTTACAATAGGGTTGCATTCCTGAGAACCTTAACATAAATCAGGATCCTTTTAACATGGATTTCAATGGTATATATTCCTGGCCTGTCTAGCACAGACATGTAACACAGAAAAAAACAATTCTATACTAATAAATACAAAATTAAACAACACTCACCACATTAATAAAAACAAAGCCTGCTGCTTAACAATGTCTAACTTCATCTCCAGAGACACTCTCTTCCTCAAAGCCTTGCCTTTCCCAGAGGCGGGAGAATCAGCAGGACACTTGTTAGCCATTTTCAAAGTTACGGAGTTACTGTACACTGAACACTTCACAGTCACCAAAACAGAGCAAAATCTGAACAATAATGTTTTACTCTCTCCAAAACAGCAAAGTATCACAGCGATTACAAGGTTACTCTATGATTAACAATGATAACATTTGTTATATGAGTGAGGGTAGATGTAACCACATTAAAACAAACCGCGGGACTGCACATAAGTTCACATGGTGGCCCTGAAGCAGTGCACGGGTAGGTGAACTGCAAGGAGGTTGGAAAAGCGGTTTCAGTAGATTAGGAAACAGGTTAAGAGATTAAAAAAAAGTATTAGTATCATAGAGAAACTTAAGTAAACCTCTAGTACCGAGGTGTTTGGTACACGAAAGAATAGTTAAACAGGATCCAAAATATTGGTATGTGATGTATGGTTAAGGAGTATCATTATGGCAGATATACTTCATTCACCCAGTACTAAGTGATGATTGTTATCGAAAATTAAGGTCTTCTTTTATTTTTGTTTCCTGTTTCAGACTGTGTATGATCCTTTTTTTATATCAACCTACAATCTTTTCTATACCTCACTTCCTGTACTGTGTCTGGGCATCATGGACCAAGATGTTGACGATTACTATAGTCGTCGCTTTCCCAAACTCTACACTCCTGGTCACTCCAATCTTTTTTTCAATAAACGTGTATTTTTATGGAGCGCCTTACATGGCGCGGTAACCTCCTGCCTCATATTATTCATCCCATTTGGTGAGTGTGGCAGTATGTGAGCGTGTGTCACGTATAGTTGTGCAGTGTTCACCCCACCTCCGTCACCTCTCACTTCAGCGTGTTTATATACAGCTACGAGTCCATGGGCTCTGAGTCTTGATCAGTATCTCCTTAGGTGTTTAATTTTCATCAAAGGGCATTTAAGAAAAGTAGTTCAAAGATAGTACAGTAGATTTAAATCTGTACCAAGTGGGTCAGCTTAGGCCTTAGAGTACTGTATAATGGTTATTGTTGAAGTGTGGTAAATTTAAGAATGAAATCACTTGGCAAAACAGTTATTTTTTCTTTCAGAACAATATATCTTTCTATATGTCAAGTAAGTTTCTCTCTCCCTCAGTAGGAGATTACAGTGAATTTACTCATCTATTCTCTTATATAGTCAGTGCACAGAGTTCATTCTCATCTGATGTACAGACCCCTAACATACATTAGTTCAGGTTTAAGTGTATATAGTACATATCTCTCTCATCAGTACAGGTATTTAGTATTCAAAATGGGTTAAAAATCTTCTTTGATTGCGGTCAAGCCATGCAGAAAACATGCTTTGTTGGTATTAAACCGGCCAAATGAATAGAGCCTATGCTTCTTGTTCCAAGGATCACTGGTTCAGTTCTGGGGCACTCTCAGTCCACCCAGCTGTAAATGGCAAATGCCAACCACATTCTCTCTTTGTGTCCCAAAGGCTTAGTATATAGTGTGTTGTATCCACACTGCTCTTAACAAATATCAGGCCTATAGCACCTACTTTCAAAAAGTTCTTCAGTAATAAATGTTCAAGGTTCATACATGTTATCGTGAATATACAGTACATTAATCTTATACTTGACAAACTTCATTAGTGTCTCGCAATCACACCTTGAATCATAAAACATTCCGTTATAAGCGTTCTCCATAATACATACATGGTCCAGTGTACATAGTGTGAAGGATAATTTTTGTATGATATATGCAGTTTTTATTTTTTATTTTTTAATAAAACTTCCCTTCTCCCAGTGATTTTTCTTTTAAGACTGATATCTTGAAGTACAGTTTGTGTCTCAAACAAATTGAGCTGTATTGTATTGTACTTTGCTATCAGTCTAATTGGAATGTTGATGAGGTACAGTATATTTTAAAACCAATGAACAACTTTTAACAAGAGGTGGCTTTAGTGGGCAATAATTTAGGTCTGAGCTCATGGACTCTGAAGACTCAAGGGAATATGAACATACTTATTATTACAGCCTTTGATAGTATGGCTGATTTAAGTCATAATTATGTGTGGAATCTAAGACACTGTCAAATGGATGTTTACACAAGTATTGATGTGTTTACCTAGCACAAGCAACACTCTAAATCCTTGTACAGTAATTATTTATTGTAAAAGTTTAAATAATTTGAAGTTTACAATGATCTGGTTTAAGAACAACTTACCTGTCATCTAAAGTGTGCATGATTGAAGTGTAAATGTTATCACAGGTCTTCACAGTGTGACAATTTATAGGTTTTTCACTTTAGATGTGACTGTGAGCATTATATAATCACAACACCTTGTTATTGATGCAACCTTTTATGTTTAATTTTTATTTATTGCCTGGGTTTTGTGTTATCATTGTTTTATAAATGATGGCATTGTTTGAGTTTACTCATACTTTTGCTGTGGGTGTTTGTCACGGCACATAATGTATATACACACACACAGGGTTAAGTGACCTGCAGCTCCGTATAAGCTTTCTTCACTCACGCTATTAGGTATTTTGTTTTTCTCTCCCTAACGCAGACACTGTTTGACCCCATGTTTATATCGGTGTATAACCTCTTCTACACGTCAATGCCCGTCCTGGCTCTGGGTATCTTCGAACAAGACGTTAATGCTAAGAACAGTATCAAATACCCAAAGCTGTACACTCCAGGCCTCAAGAATGCTTTGTTCAATAAGAGAGAATTCTTCAGGTCTGCAGTTCATGGATTTGTCACTTCTTGTGTCCTGTTCTTCATACCATTTGGTAAGTGAAGAAGACCTATTGTGCAGCAGCATCAGACAACTCAAGTATTTCCAGATAGGCAAGAAATAATGTATCTCCCCCTCCCACTCCCTGCTTTGATATAGGCTGTCTGTAATAAGGACCAACAAACTCTACCTTTATTTGCAATCATTATTCTTTAACGACTTTAACAGATGTTTTGCTATGGTGTTCCCATTCCCCATGTATTACCAGGACTATTGGGTGAAAATACTGTTCCTTCATAGATAAACAGAAAATATTACCGCCACAGCAGTAGCAGTTAGTGTAAGTTATACTCAGAGGAGTTTGTTACATTGGTAAGTACTGCATGGGAGAACTTATGTTTATTTGAGCAGGTTAGTGTCATAAACCTTTTTATAGTTGTTCTCACATTTTCACCTGCACATCTGTACATTTCATGCATTAGTGTGGTGTGCCATCTATTGCTTTTTATATAGGAATAGCTCAAATAAGCACAGAAATGCATAAGTTACATACAAGAAGCAACATATATTAAGACAAAAATAAAATTAATTCTTGTATTAAATTTAATTTAGTAACTAAAAATTAAATGTAGATTATTATCATATGACTATATTTTTGTTGTCAGATTTGTTGGAATGATTTTTGTTTGTAAAACTCGAGTAGAATTTTTAAATAATATGTATTACTGTATATTCCTTAAAAAAGTGGAAGGAAAATGTAACATTATATAATATGCAGACATTATTGTGTAACTAATCTATTGTTGACACAGGGGCATACTATAATGGTATGGATCAGGAGGGGCGGAGCATGACAGACCAGCAGACGTTTGGTAGTGTTGTAGCGACCATTCTCGTCATTGTGGTCACTATGCAGGTATGCAAATCCTCGGCAAATTTGTTTTATTTGGTTTTTGAAACAGGTTTTCTAATGAGTTTTGTGGTAACTTTGTAAGTACTGTACTGGTAATTTAAGCAGTGATAGTAATTTTTTGTTAGTGGTAAACAACTCCATGAAACCAAGCAAAATGCTGTATTCAGTTACAGTTGAATTTCTAAAACAAGTGCCGCATAAATCCTGATGGAATTAATCTTTTGAAACCTGACGTTTACAATCTGTGGTGAAAGTGACCATGGATGTACAGTACCAGCTACAGTGAAAGGATATTACAAATAGTATATACATAATGTGCATAACACTAGTTACAAGATTTCTTCTCTGCAAATTAAGCTGTCAGCTTCAAGAGCACAGCAACCATTGTGACTGATGAAGTATTATTGTGTTTGGCAGTATATTCTTTGTTTTAACCAAGTACAGCTCCTCCCCGACTTACGACAGGGTTGGGGACCCAAATCCAGGTCGTAAATCGAAATGGTCGTAAGTCGAAAATGCTTAAATAATACATAGAAAATCTAAAATAGGTGTCTTTTTCTTTTCAGCACCACAAAACTCTCACTTTTAGGCTTTCCAGCCATTTTAAAGTGAATTGCAAATGAAAATTTTCTCTGAGTACTGACGTTGGGACTCGAAAATACGTAATTTGACAAAATTTTGGTACGACTGAGGCAGGTCGTAAGTGCGGGTGGTCTTAAGTCGGGGAGGAGCTGTACTGTATAGTACAGTCATGCGCCGGTTAACGTCCTAGATACGTTCTTGGAAACGTGACGTTAACCGAAATGGACGTTGTCCGATCATCACAAACTTTTTATTTATACTTACGTGTATGTGGGATACTATATACATACATATACACTTTTAACTCTTAAATCACTACTGTAATGTGATACAGGTGATTAATTTTTATCTCGTGCAAAATACATGACGTTTATATTAAAATTATTCACTGTTTTACAAGGATTCCAGCAATGCCAGCAGATGGGGGAGAGAGAGGGTGCGAGGAGGCGTGGGGGGAGGGGAGGTAGTACGTTTGACTGTTGGCACAGGCTCAGGTCTAACGCGTGTATATTTATCAGTTCTTAGGTGACTAAGCTTCTCTCTTATAAAAAGCCAGTGAAATGACCTGGGTGAATATAATTAACATAGCTGGGATTCTTGTAACATACTGATTAATTTGAATATAAACATGCTATAATTTGCACTAGACAAAACAATTTTAGTACCGTAATCAAATTAGTACATGTGCACTCCAGCTTTGCACTAAGAAATCTATGTAAATCTACCCAAAAATACAGTTGAAAAACTTTTTTATAAAATGTACTACAGTACTGTACACTAATGTACAACAATTTTTATCTCTTGAGCAAAATATATGACGTTTATATTCAAATTATTGGCTGTCTTGCAAGGATTCCAGCAATGCAAATTATAATCTCCTAACTTTAGTCTGAGATATTATATAAGATAAAAACTGTAAACCTAAAAGTACAACCATCATAAAATTAAGATGTTATTTTTACTAGAACATAGGTATTGTGGAAAAAGTGGAGTTTGGGGTCAGCGTCTCTATTTCATTTAATCCCATATGTTATGTTGTTCACTTTGACGCTTACTGGCTCAGGTTCAATTGACTAAAGTGAGGGTTCACTGTATATATATATATATATATATATATATATATATATATATATATATATATATATATATATATATATATATATATATATATATATATATATATATATATATATATATATATATATATATATATATATATATATATATACATACATACATACATACATACATAATACATACATATATATATATATATATATATATATATATATATATATATATATATATATATATGCAGGCGTCAAAAAGCAAGACGGCCCCCAAATTTCCATTTAAAAAGTAGCTTTTGAGCTCTATTTGCTGTATAAGACCAGTACCCCAAATGTGACACTTACCCACTGACTCAGTAGTCCTTTACCAACCATCCTTGATTTTTTAAAATAAGGCCAATTCACTTCAAGTAATGTCATCAAATTATACTCGCTGGTGTAGTGTAAACACTAGTGACGTCACTGAAGCTGCCCAGGTTATTTAATGTAACTGGAACTACTGCTTCGGAAATATGAGTTCTTTCCATTTTACTGAAATAGTTTAATTTGATTTATTTGTTAATTGGATATGAGTATCATATTGTAATTATTATTAAAATGTTTGACTTATTTTCATTTTTATACGCTAGTTTCCGCGACGAGACGACGGTGGTATGAGGTTCTGCCTGCAGGATCTATGTTCAAATTATTTGCCACAACAGTGGTTCAAATGTTAAACCACCTCCGCCCAATTGGTGTTTTCATGATTTGAGGCGTACCGTATATGTATCTATTACATATTTATTAATGTTATTTATTTATATATATATATATATATATATGTTATATATATGAAAGTATATATATACTGAATATACTATGTACAAAAAATGAATGTTCAATGAATTATTTATGGTGCATTAGGGTACTGGCCACTTCAGACACAAAGACGGGATAAAAATAGCCCATCTCCCCCTCTTACAGCTGCCAATGGGAAGCGTCTTGGTAATTAAATTTGATGTTTATTTTCAGTTTGTCTAATTTATCATGTATCAAATTAATATTACTAAAAATTGTGTAGGTAGTAGGCAGCTACCAAACAGGGAGGTACTACTGCCTGGGAAGATATTGGAAGCATAATGTGTTGTCTAATGGTAGACCCTGCTGCCATATGGCATAACGAAAATTGTGACCAAGTCCCAGGTTGCTGACCTGACTTTCTGCCTCATTTACACACAATTGCAGTTTCAATTGTTCCTCTTACTTTGACAACACAACATACATACAGTATATTATTTCTCACTTTTGATCTTTTTTTTAATTTTTGTATTTATTTATAGTTAGTTACTTAAAATAAGGCCAATTCATTTCAAGTAATGGCATCAAATGTTACCGGCTGGTGTAGTGTAAACACTAGTGATGTCACTTAAGCGTCTGTAATTAACTGTCGATAGTTTCAAGAATTAACGCACTCATTTACTGAATATTCTTTGTAAAAAAATAAATTTTAAATCAATTATTTATAGGAGATAAATATTATTATCAGTAAATATACCGATACCCGGTATGCATTACTGATCACCTCAACGGCTAAAAATAGCCCAATCTCGCGGTCACTTTCCCTTTCTTGTCTCCTCACTGGCAAATGGGGGGGAGGGGTGTGTGATGATAGCAGCTGTGTTTATTACAGGGTATGTTAGACAGGTTTATAATACATTTTTATTATTTTAATATACCGGTAATCTTAATTTGAATCCAGCTTGCCAAACGTAAGTTTCAGTATAAAATAATTACTGGTAGGACTTTGTGAGTGGCTTACGATGTTTCCATCACCACTCTTGACACAGTAAATCACAATATTTAAGATGTAAGAATTTTATATTTGTTGCTTAAGACGACCCCCTAAATTTGGGCAGATTTTTTTAATGTTCAAATTTCGTCTTATAAGCCGAGATATACGGTATATACTGTATATATATATATTTTTTTTTTTTACTGTTTTTGGTGTGTCTTTTTACCATAAATATGAGATGCTGTTATGTGAAGGTTTATATTCTATGGACAAATTTATTACCTCATGAAAGTTATGCACTTTACTATCTCATGAAAGTTATACACTTATTACCTCATAGATAATTTTCTTTACTTTTTGTATTGCTAATACTGTGAATGTTTGGTCTTTTTTCAGATTTGTTTGGATACATCGTATTGGACGTTTTTTAACCATGTTACTATATGGGGCTCACTTATTTTATACTTGCTCCTTCAGTATTTTTACAACTATGTCCTTGGTGGAGATTATGTTGGAGCTCTATCAAAGGTAATTATCACACCTCAACATTTGGAATATATTTAAACTTATTGATAAGTCTTTATGGTCTTTCAAATTGCCTATCCCTCCAGCTCTATAACCATTTAACTCACCTTTCTTTATTTTTGGGGGACCATAAATCATCTAAGTTTGTTTCTGATGAAAATCATTTATTAAGAGACATTGAATTTAAGAACAGATAAGTGTGTTACAGTAATGAGAAAAACATTTCTGTATATAATAGTATAAAACCACAATGACAGTACAGGATTGAATGAAATAAATACAAATATTGTCACAACTTGTCTATTTAATTTTGCCTCAAAAGTCACTAGAAGTTATTGTACAGTATATTTAAGTATTGGAACTTAAAAAAAATTCTGATTATTGTTTACTTTCCTCAGGCAATGGGAGAACCAATGTTCTACTTCACCTCGTTATTGACTATTGTAATATTAATGCTGCCGATAATGGCTTGGCGCTTCTACTGGGTTGACGTTGCTCCAAATCTTTCGGATAAAGTGAGATTTAAACAACGTCATGATGCAAAGATGGCCAGTAAGCGTACCGAGCATGATATGCATCGTACCCCATCTGCTAGAAGGTAAGAATATGATCTTGGAGTAATTTATTGTGATCTAGGATTAGTTTTATTTATGAAGCTCTGAAAATGAATGGTATAACCTGAATGCAGTACAGTAGTACCCCGATTTACGCAGTCAATTGAATCAATGGGTACCGCGGAAAGTGAAAACCGCGTAAAGTGAACAACAGAACATATGGGATTAATTCCAATAGAGACTGGCCCGACCCCCAAACTCCACTTTTTCCGACACAATACCTATGTTGTGGTAAAAATAACATCTTAATTTTATGATGGTATGCTCACACAATTAATATTTAAGAGAAATACAGTTGCCAGGTTAATGTCCATTCAAATAATGGACTCAAATCCCCCCCCCCCCTCTTCCCAGCTCACTAGCTCCTACCTCTCTGAGAAATGTTTGGGTGAAAACACTAGATTTTAACGTTTAGTAATAAATAATACCTCAGACTAAAGTTAGGATAATATAATTGACATTTCTGGATTCCTTGCAGGTCAGGGAATATTTTGAATGTAAACTTCATATATTTTGCACAAAAGATAAAATATTTGCTTTGTGTAAACCAAATTATTACATTAGATCTAAAATTTGTATGTCTAATGCAAAATCCATGATGTTTATATTCAAAATGATCATCATATTGTAAGAATTCCAGCAATGTAAATTATATTCTGGCCGGGTAATTTGTATGAATTTTATGAGCTAAAACATATATCTTCAGTAAATAAACAAAGAAATATTCTTCAAGGACACTATCTGTCAGTCAAAATACTCCGCCCTAGCTGAGTCAGTCCCTCCCTCCCTCCCTCCCTACCAGAGAAGTGATTGGGAGAAAATAGTATATTTGCATTTTTAGTAATAAATAATAACTCAGACTAAAGTTAGGATAATATAATTGACATTTCTGGATTCCTTGCAGGTCAGGGAATATTTTGAATGTAAACTTCATATATTTTGCACAAACGATAAAATATTTGCTTTGTGTAAACCAAATTATTACATTAGATCTAAAATTTGTATGTCTAATGCAAAATCCATGATGTTTATATTCAAAATGATCATCATATTGTAAGAATAACAGCAATGTAAATTATATTCTGGCCTGGTAATTTGTATGAATTTTATGAGCTAAAAAAAAAAAAAAAATTATACTTCACCGCGTATATGAGAGTAGATGCACCGCGGAAAGTGAAGTCCGTAAATCGCGTGGTGCAAAGCGGGGTAATACTGTAGTATTATAAAACACCATTCAAACTTTTAATAGAGTAAAGCAGGTGTTAAAAGTGTGTCAGGAAGAGGGAGCTTGTTGCCAGTCATAATGGGGTTAAGTGAAATACTGTATGTGTGAAGTTGCCTTTGTTCAGTATATTCATAGTTAAGGTAACAGGTAGGGTGATGGAGAGAACACATGATAATAGTTAGTGCAAGTGAGGAAAATGTTTCTAATGTTGCTGGTGACACTACACCATTCTGAAGCATGATTTTAAGGAAAATCACAAATATCAGTGAATAAGTTTAATAAGAGTGTAAAGTAGAGTGATGAATTATGAATACGGTAATCTCCCCGTTAACTGGAATCCTCCGTCCTCAGTACAGTATTTTTGTCCACTTATTATATTATTATTTATACACTATTATTTAAGGTTATGTGTAAAGGAAACGCATTAATGCTTAAAGGTACATTTATTCAACATATGCTAATAATAGTTAGAAAAATTACGTAACCATCACGGTATCGACGGCCGTTTACAGAACGTAACCCCCGTCGATAAAGAGGGAGTACTGTACTTGCCAGTAGTCAAAATTGAAATCGGCCCAGAATTTTTCCAGAAAAATTCTCACAATCCCAGGTCTGTGGATATATTTTCCAGGAGTTCCAATAAATTGCATCATGCTCTGCCGTGTCACCATGTGCTAGCCACATGTGTGGGAAAACCACTTGGGTAACAAGGGCCACAGGCTCATGTGTCATGTGACAAACCCAAGAGTGTTAATATACAGGTCCTCGATTACTGCTGGGTAGACAGAAACAAATGATATAAATAAACATGTATGCAAAAATCCATTTTCTGTAATAACAATTATCTTAATTATATTCAGAGTGTGTAGAAGAGAATGAATATGTATTAGTCATGGTTCAAAGTTAACTCTCTCTGGTGAAACTGAGTCACAGAAACTAGTCTCTGAACTTGACTTACCCTGAATGTACAGGTGTGCTGTTTATCTCATTTGGGGTCTATGATGTTTCATTTTGGGAGTGAGCGAACTTTTAACACCCGACTGCACAGCGCACATACAGTAGAGCCTCGATTCTACGGACTAATAGGGGAAGGTGGTCGGCTATTGCCTACCGGTAGTGTCTGTTGAATCCGAATAAGGTAAAAACACAAAGGAAAAATAAACAATACAAACAATAAAAAAAAAAAACATTAAAAATATGATAAACATTGTAATAGAACGTAAATAACGGAATTTAAAATAATTTCACTTACCTTTTGTGGTTGATGGACGAGTTTATTTTGTCGTGATCGTATAGTGGTGACTCGGAATAACTTATTCTGAGTCAGTTGAGCTCTGACCCTTCAATTGTATTAACTTTTTACAGTACAGTATTATCATATACAGTACAATAATACCCCAGTTGGCCGTCGGGATACGTTCCAGGATAATAAAGCATTATCCAGGAAGGTAGTATACTGTGACTGCCTAGTATGACACTGTGTTTGCCTAGTATGACACACTGTGTTTGATGCAACAGTTTAGATACCATTGAGTGAAAATGACATTCAGTGCTAGTGTTTCTTCCATTTATGCCAAGAGTTGTCCTGTGGTGATTATCGGTAGTACCAGAGGTCACACACTCATATTTAAATTGATCAGTTCTTGTTCGTAATTGTATAGCACAAATTCTTTTTCAGATCACGACGCTCCATCCGTTCTGGTTATGCCTTTGCTCACCAAGAAGGCTTTGGACGCCTTATCACAAGTGGCAAAATCATGCGTCCCAGAAATCCAAAGCCTGGCAATGTGTCCAATGGCAGAGCCGCAAGCCTTCGTCCAGATGCCAACAAAGGTCCAGTAGCGGCACCAGCACCTTCAACAGTGGAAGTGTAAAAGTTATTTTGTACTTATTTACCGTGTTGTTCTTTTTAAAGAACGTGACATTTTTATTGCTTTTTACAACTTAGGGGATACCCTATATTTATTTTCGATAAAACAATGGTGCCAATAGTTTTATTCTTGTGGTTGGAAAATGTTTTTGATGTTATTATTTAATTTTTAATTGAGATTTATTTTCATAATTGCTTGTGATTTATATAATAGAAATGGAAGTGTAATATATATAAGTGGTAACAAGTGGTACACCATATACTGTATGTGAACTTCCAGCAAGAGAAGATGTGGCTGAAGCTTTGCATATTTCCTATAATGTTGAAAACTGTGAACTCGTACGTTTAATGTTTCCAATGTGTTGTAATCTTGTTGTTGCCTTTGCACCCCTTCAATATATGGTTGAGGTGCCTCTCATAAGTGTACTTATAATAGATTTCTCAGGTTTTTCCCTTAATTCATCATCAGATTTAATTTTATTTAATTCCAGGCAAAAGAACAAGGGGTGATAATGATTACAATTGTATTTATATGTTTGTCTCTGAAGTTAAATTCAGATGTTGGCTTTATTCAACAGTTTTTAATACTTGTGATTTCCTAACCATCTACAGTGGTCCCTTGGTTAACGAACGCCTCGGTTAACGAAATTTCGGTTAACGAATTACCTTCCATAAGAATTTTCAATTCGGTTAACAAAAAAAATTTGATTAACGAAATCCTTATGAAAATCACATTTTGTTTTGAACATCAGCTGATAAGCTGAGGAGGTACTCAGCCAATTCAGTGATCTCTTCTATGTTTACATTCAAACTAATCACTATCTTATAAGAATTCCAGCAATGCAAATTAAGTTCACCCCAGTCACTTCTATTAAATTTTATAGTCAAAAAACAAAAACTCAATCTAAAAGAAAAAAAATAAACTAACAATTAAATACTTCACACCACAGGCGCCAACTGTCAAACATGTCACTGTCACCCCTCCCTCCCTCCCTACCCCCGCACCCCCTCCCTTCCTGAGAAACGTTTGGGTAAAAAGACTAGGTTTACAGGTTTAAAAATAAATAATACCTCAGACTAAAGTTAGGATAATATAATTTGCATTGCTGAAATCCTTGCAAGACAGGGAATATTTTGAATATAAACTTCATATATTTTGCACAAAAGATAAAATTTTTGCTCCCTAATAAAATTCTTAAATTAGATCTAAAATTTGTATGTCTAATGCAAATTTTAGCTTGTTTATATTCAAATTAATCATTATCTTATAAGAATTCCAGCAATGTAAATATATTCTGGCTGGGTAATTTCTATGAATTTTATGAGCTAAAAACAAATATAATCAGTAAATAAACAAATTATACTTCACCAGACACTATCTGTCAATCAAACTACCCCACCTCCTGCTCCCCCCCTTTTCCCACGCTCGCTGGCTCTCCTCCCTCTCTGAGAAAGGTTTGGGCGAAAACACTAAGCTTTTAGGTTCAGTAATAAATAATACGTCAGACAATAGTTAGGATAATATACCGTATATACTCGTGTATAGTTCGAGTTTTTAAGATCAAATTTTTAGGCAAAAAATTGGGGGTCGTCCTATACATGTGTAATAGTTTTGTTAGGTTGAACCCGTGCATGATGGGAAGGGCGAGGAGCAACTTTTAGCTTCAGACATGAAAAATATTTACCATTTACTGCCAGTAAACAATGAAAACGTAAAATATGTACCAATTAGTAATGAAAAGTTGTGCAGTTCCTTCAGCAAATGAAGCTCACCAACTTACAATAGGCTAAATTACCTTACAACGTGCTTTCAGTAATCTATGTTGAAGTTCTTAGCACAGGCTAACTTATCATATCATATACGGTATCACAGTTCTCATTGATCTGCCAAAAATATCGGTAATAAAAACCTTTTCGATATTTCACACTTAATGTAATACCCGGTAATCTACGTCAACCTCCTATTGTTTACAACGATGCATGATGCATCACGCACCACCAGCTGTTGAGTGTATCAGCTAGACCAGTGTTTTTCAAACTTTTTTTACTGCGACCCACAACCAGAACAACAATTTAAATTGTGACCCATTAAACCTAAGTGTAATGATATGAAATGAGTAAATCAAAGACAAACACTGCTCTCCTTGCAGTCGCTTCCTAGACTGTGGAGTGTACATTACAATAACCAAGCCTAAATATTGGTGCATTTATTTTTATTTTCTTATTTATTTTCGCGACCCATTTTCTTTTTTTTTTCTTTTTTATTTTTGCGACCCATTTTTATTTTGTGACCCAATTTATTTATTTTGTGACCCAATTTATTTATTTCGCGACCCACTGAAGGGTCGGGACCCATAGTTTGAAAACCCCTGAGCTAGACGGTACACGTGTTTTTCGAATCGTTTTCGGTTAAAAAACTGTTATATCACATGTATATTTTACTGTACCTTAACTGTGCCTGAATGAATAAATTCTCAGAAATAACTAATAGTTTTGCTGAAACGTGATGTATTTTAATGTAAAATAGGATAAAGTACATGACGAAAACAAAAGATTTTACCTAACCTTCCGATGTTCAAGAGAAGTTACACGTTTTTTAATAGTTTTTGGTTAAAATATTGTTATATTACAATGGTATTCTATTCATACTGTGCTTGATATAATGCATTCACGGAAATGTAATATTTTTGCTGAAATGACGTACGTATTACAGTGGAAAGTGGGATAAAATCGTGACGAAAACAATGACTTTCGCTTTCTTTCGTTCAAAAGATGTTACCGTAATCGCTTTTCGAATGGTTTAGTTAAAAAACTGTTGTATTACAATAATATTCCCTCCTAATTGACTTGAATACTTGAATGGAAATATACAATATTTTTGTTGAAACTACCCGCGTTTCATTGTAAAGTGTCGTAATAATAAATGGTAAACAATTTGCCTTCGGCACTCGTGTTTCAGGCACGGCGAGCCTCAGTTTATAGGACGTAGAGCGTTTTTACTGAAGGTTTTGTTGTTCCATTACCCTCAAAAACATGGGTCGACCTATAAACGAGGAATATCATAAATTAACGATTTCTTGGTCAAAAAATCAGGGTCGATCTATAAACGAGGGGGGGTTATAGACGAGTATATACGGTACATGACATTAATGGATTCCTTGTAAGACAGGGAATAATTTGAATATAAATGTCATATAATTTGCACAAAAGATAAAATTTTTGCTCTCTAATAAAATTCTTAAATTAGATCTAAAATTTATGTTTAATGCAAATTTTAGCTTGTTCATATTCAAATTAATCACTATCTTAGAAGAATTCCAGCAATGTAAATTATATTCTGGCTTTACTTTGTATATACTTTTCTGTGAGCTGGAACTAATTACCCAATATTCCATTGAAACAATGGTTTCGGTTAACGAACGACCTTCTGGAACGAATTGTGTTTGTTAACCGAGGGACCACTGTAATGTACAGGAGTTGTGACGCTGGAGCAGTTACTAGTTTTTTGTAATGACGTGAGAGCCCTTTTTGACCGCACACTCAGCCTTGGTTCAGCACAGCAACATGTGTTAAGGCCATACTTGGTTTGTAGTAAAAAAGGGACTAAATTCATCTGCTACTAAAATTGTGTTATGTTTAGCTTACCAAAAAAATATCTATTTTGGGAAAGTCATGATTTCTTTTTTATATTTAAAATAAAAACATTTTATGGTATGAAGTGACATTTGTTTTGCATGTGTTTCTTTTGCACACTTAATTTATATGGCCTTCAATATGACAACATTTGTCAAAAAAGCAGTCATAATTATTTTTATTAGGAAAAGTATAAATATTTTAGAATCAATATATTTTATAGTGTGAAATCATGATTAATATAATGGAAAATTGTATTAATAATAACCATATATTCATAAGAAAATAAACGAGGAATCAGTCAATTTTAAGATTTAATTTCATCATGGTTGACTTTTGTTACTTGTGTCTACTGACAGGTGGCCACAAAGTAACTTATGTATCAAAACAGAGACAATATTATTACTTAGGTACATAGAGTAGGTAGTAAGCAGCTATCAAACAGGAAGGTACTACAACCTGGAAAGATATTGGAAGCATAATGTATTGTCTAATGGTAGACCCTGCTGCCATATGGCATCACAAAATTTGTGACCAAGTCCCAGGTTGCTGATCTGACTTTCTGCCTCATTTACACACAATTGCAGGGTCTCATTTGTTTCTCTCTCTCTTCGACAACACAACATACTATATGTATATTGTTTCTCACTCTTGATTTGTTTAATTTTTTTCCATGTCTGTATTTATTTTGGGTTAAAAGAATTTTCGCTCCTCAGGCCCTGATATGGGTCGGTGACTTATGCCTGGGTGTGCTAATTTCCATAAAAAAAAATGTAGCACTTAAATATTTTCTACCCCTCACATTCTGTATCCTTCCTCTTTCCCTTCTATATTTTCTCTTTGCTCACCTTTCTTCCTCACATTCCATCTCCTCTTCTATTGACTTCCCTCCCTCCCTTACATTCTTTTGGAATTAACCCCTTTAATATTCCTCTTGAATGTGACTTCAACCTCTTGAGTATGATGGTTTAACCTCTTGAATACAGAATACAATTACTGAAAATCTGGAGTATGATGTTCTAGCCCTTGAGTATGATGTTTTAACCCCATGAGTATGATGTCTTAACCCCATGAGTACAATTACTTAACTCCTTGAGAAAGATGACATAATCCCTTAAGTATATTGAACTAACCCTTATGAATTAACCCTATGAGTATAATGACTAAAGTGAAAATGCCATGTGTTCAAAGGGTTAATGTGTTTTACTACTTTCATTCACCTAGAACAGGGGTCACCAAACTACGGTCTGCAGGCCGGATCCGGCCTGCGACGTCAGTTCATCAGGCCCGCCGTGGTAGCTCCGCCTACGCTCTGACGTTACCATGGTTTCCATGGCTTTCGTTCTGGCTTGCAAGTATTGAACAGAATGATTATGCGGCCTGCGCTCGTCATTCTTTCAGTTATCCGGCCCACTGTGAAAAAAGTTTGGTGACCCCTGACCTAGAATAACAAAATACATCAAAAATTATCATTGGAAAAGTACCATTGCTAAGTTATTAGCATTGCAAAAGAAATTTAATTTTTCTTAACAATTATTGTAAGTAATTACCCAAATACCAACTTTTTTTTACCCAAGACCCTTAATTATCTGGCGTTAGCCAAATAAAACATCAAAAGTAGGGTCCCGTGGTGAAAGGGTTAATCAGTGTGTAGAGGAATACCTATACGGAGATAATGAATAAAGTTAAATTTGCTAAATCTATGGCTCCAACTGTAAGCCTTGGTGATCTTTTGGCTGAAAAACACATTTTTCTCTTGGAAATGGAAATTAACAGGTTTAATCTACTTTAGTACATCCAGAATGACACAAAATTTTGAAGACAGCATCCAAAAATCACAAGTGGTGAGTAATTAAATTTGCCAAACTACAGTATACAGGTAGCCTCGATTTATGTGGTCAATTGAACCCGTGGAGGTCTGCGTAAACGAAATAACAGAACATATGGGATTAATTGAAATAGAGACTGGGCCGACCCCCAAACAACACTTTTTCCGACAATACGTACATTGTAGTAAAAATAACATCTTAATTTTATGATGGTATGCACACACAAATAATATTTAAGAGAAATACA